CACACACACACACACACACACACACACACACACACACACACCCCTCTGCCATGCCTTCTTTCTCTAATAAGCATCCAAACATACACACACAGTGCCAAATGGATCAAGTGGCTGGCTGACTGAAGGGGATGGAGCACACAGAGAGATAGAGAGACAGAGAGAGAGAGAGATTTTGTTTTTCGTGCCTTCCTGTTTAGCCACAAAATTGGGAATGCGTGTCGTTAATTTACAAGTTGCAGACACAGAGACCCACAAAGCAGGTGCCATGAATAAAGATTTGTGGTGATTATAACAGCGCACTGGGAACTGAAACACACAGCAACTGTTTATGCAATGAACATCAGTTGTAAGTGCTAATTTAATTTAGGAGAGGAGAGGAGGAGAAATGGGATAGACAGAGAATGTAGAAAGTAAGGAAATGTAAGGAGAAGTAGTTAACAGCTAAGCCTTTTGAATTAGTTATAAGTGGTCATTTAAATGAAGATGAGGAGAACAGGAGGATAATTTGAGCATTTAGATAAAGGGATGAAGAAGAGCACACAAAGAAGATGAGAAACAGAAGAGCAAAAGGTTTGATATATAATTATGTAAACCAAAAGCCAGCTTATGTAATTCAATATAAGTGGTATTTCTTTGTCTTTTACAAAGACAAAAAGAGCTGCATTGTCACTAGTGTGAACCAGGTATACAAGTTGAAATATCATCACAATTTACACCAAATTGAGGACTGGAGCCTAACAATCATTAAAAAAAAGCTTTGTTCTATTACAATACCGTGAGTACCTTTACAAAAGAGGATAGCAAAGCAGCAATGATTTTAGCATGCACTCCTAAAGGGACATTATTTGTCACAGAAATAGCGAAGAGAGAACAGCCTGTATGAAGGTTAGCAGGGAGGCTAATAAGCACGGGCACAACTGTGATTATGTGTGGAGACCTGGTTCTCTCTCTGGAGAGCAGTGAGACTAAAAGCAATTAGTTGGTCTTATCCATGACTTGTATGAATTATCACAACAGCACTTTTATCCATTCAATTCAGTGTCAAACACCAGAACACAGGGCAAACTGTTGATTTATGCAGCAAACGGCATAAAGGACATTTTGAGTCAAACAGCACTAGTATGACTATTGTGTCCATCTGCTCTTATTGTTCCACGTTCCATTCTCAGATAGTAGATGTGTGTGTGTGTGTGTGTGTGTGTGTGTGTGTGTCAGTGAATGCATTTCTCTCTGGATTTCTGCTTGTTATCTGTGTGCGTCCATGTGTGTCTCTGGATGTCTGTGTGCATGCTCATGTAGGTGTGTACACGTTTGTGTCTGGGACCACAACTCACCGGGTTTCAGGTTCCTCTCTTGCAGCACAGACAGCCACTTGGCGCCGGTACCTAAAATAGTGATGCTGGAGAAGAGAAGAAGATGGACAAAGCCAGAAGAAAAGAGACGGAAATTATTGTTTTCAAGCATACCAATGTGAAGGATCAGCGAAGCATTCTTTTTCCAACATAAAAAAGAAAACCCAGTTTATTATTTTGGAGAAAAGGATCATTTGCGTCAGCGCTGCCAACAATGACAGCCATTGCAAAAGCCCTCCTACATGCATGTAATGTATTCTGCATTGTGACAGCAGAAACTTTTAACAACAGAACTAAATTAGCAAACATTATGAATCATCCTCTAGGGTGGGCAGAATATTATTGCCAAATTTCATGGCAATCTGGCTGCTCATTTTTGAGATATCTTGCTCAAGACCAAAGTGTTGGACAGATAAGCGGACGGACAGACAGACGGGCTGACGAACTGTGTGACGTCACCATCCTTTATCACAGCTCTAGATTGAGCCCATCAAAATTTAAAATGCAGGCAAATACAGTGGTAGTGTTTGAGCGTCCGCTAGAATACCACAACTTTGCCACGGTTGCACAGCACTGACCATATACAGGTGAGACAATATGTCATCTGGCACTGACACACTGCACTGTGACATAGGATGGGATGTGACATTAGAGCCTATACTCCATTTTTGAAATATAGCTTTGATTCTTAAGTGGCAGTAAAAGTGAAGAATTTGACTCCGGAGATTTCAGATTTCAGTTAAGTTGACGATACAAAAAGGTCACTCCCATTTTGGAAGGAAGTTGGGTGGTGGAGCGAGCCGAGACAGCAACTTGGCTGTATTGGCAGAGAAATAGTGAGAAGGGAGAGTGTTATAAAGGGTTTATACAACTGTATAAATACGATTGGATGGTTACTTTTCAGCTGCTGAATGAGGCACTGGTGGGGAAGCATGAATGAATGGACTGAAGCAAGCATGACATCGATGCTCAGCCTGAACTGACTATGCTCCATTTGTTGCCCTGAATCTATGCATGGCGAGGCATCATTTCAATGTCTGTGTGCTGAATGTGAAAAATATATATATTTATTTATTTTTATTTTTTTATTTTTTAAAAAGGCCAACAGTTGAACAGTTTGCCCTTAATCCCATCTGCTCCAGTGGAGCTGCTCAGTTGCTCGGTTGTACTGAGAAGCTCCCAGGAGAAGAGTGTGTGTCACTGTGCAGATGAAAAGCAAGGTGATGCTGAAACAGAGCTTGTGTGCTCAGTCAAGCCTTCATGGATAGACAAGAACAATGAAGAACAACAACTGATTGGGAATTGACTTTCAACTGAACAAACCAGTCAGACAATAATGGTCAGTCTAGCATAAGAGGACAAGATGTCTTCTTTGTAAATGTTCTACACGGGATTAGTTCAGAGGAGACTGTATTGACAGGATGTTTGCACACAACAACCCTCGAATGCAATGTTGTTGGAAAGTTGCTTTCTTCTGTGTGAATGGAAGTCATCCTGACAGCTGACAACAGTTGGACAACATGTGGAAAGCAAGAAGTGACAAAACGTCACTTCTGTGTTCCCCTGCAGTCTTAATTCTAAAACAAAGGGCCTTTTAAAGTCTGCCTCCGTCAATGGTTGTGTTTCTGTCTCCGTCTGTGTCTTCCCAAGTTATTTTTGTTGACATCAAATCAATCAAACTGCCTCCCATCACTACGGTAACCATGTCTGTCAATCACAAAAGAGAGATATATATATATATATATATATATATATATATATATAAGAATTGGTCTCTGGGAGACAAAACAACGGTCTTTTGCTCGACTGGTCAAAAATCAAGAATTGCTTTGCACCAAAAGATGTCATTTGTTGTCACATGTTCAAATCGATGACTGTTAATTCAATTCAATTCAATTTATTTTTGTATAGCCCAAAATCACAAATTAATAGGCTGAAGGATGGAATGTGAGGGGGGGGGGGGGGGGGGTTAGATAAGGTGAAAGTTCCAAAGAAGTAATATCTCAAAAAGGAATGATTTCAATGATACGTGCAATGGCCTAGTGCGTGTGTGCGCACACACACCATTCTGCCTGCTTGAATTTCATATGTTGAAATCCTATATCATAGATTATGTCATTTTACAAACAAGATCTAATCCGATTCACTGCGAATCCAAATCTCGATGTATTGAAAGACCGTTAATGGACACTGTGGACCAACCAGACATGAATGTCTGCTTTTTGGCCCACTCATTGATCGACAATGGCCTAATACATCTCGAGATATTAAAGGGATGGACACTGTGGTAATGACCTTATGCCAAAATCTGTGAGGGTTGACAAATGTCTATCATTTCACGGTTATATCATCGGTTGGCCTACCCTTTTATCCATGAGGGTTCAAACTGTTTGAATATTATAACATACTGCAGTGCTGCTTTAATTATCTTATATTCCATCTATATCATTTTATAATATTTTCTATACTTTATTGCAAAAGTACACAATGTAATTTGCAATGGCTTCCATTGCACGGTTACTTGCCTTCTTACCATATGATACATTTTTGCTTCAGTTGGAAGAAAAAGATCACATACCAAAAAGGTAATAAGTACGTGTCAGCACTAACAAACAAAAAACAATGAATTGAATTTATAGTTAAGTCAATGAAATTACCAATTTCTCAATTTGCTTGATCATCCATATTACTAAAAATGAAATCTATCAGATCTACTTCTACATACTTTTCTTTTAGGCATCTAATTCCTTCATCTTCACAAGTAAGGAACTTAGATTGTCCTGTGTACAGTAAACATTGTTTTTTTATGTATTAAGAAGGTATATATACACACACGGTATGAGTTTATTTGGTAAGGCTGGATAAATATGATCTATTCCTGTTCTCTACTTTCACAATACAGCCATCGGATAAGGCAGATGACACACATGAACTCAAAACACAAAACCATTTATCATCTGCCCGCGCACACAGTCCGTCTCCGTTCTATCCATCAGCTCTGACCCCCTCCCCCCCATTCGCATCTGGAGTCGTTTCATTGCTGGCTACCATGGAAAGGGGTCAGTGTATTCTGATTGGAGGCAGGTGGCCAGGTGTGGCTGCTAATTGGATGTTTAGGATGGAGGGTGGAGGAGTAGCTGCGTGTCTCTGTTTGTGAATGTCGGCCTGCATTAATGCACGTGTGTCTGTTTCAGAGGAGACATGTTGCTGGAAGCTACTGAGCCAATAAGAGACACTTTAAGCCAATCAGACACAGGAGCGCCTCCGAGCAGCTCCGGCGTTAATGTGTCTCTATGCGTGTGTGCATGTTTTCTAAACTACTCTCGCACTTATCCTCCCACCCTGGAAAGAATTGTAATATAAAAAGTGGACCTTCGCTCTCCTCTCAGGTGTCGGGGACCAGGAGGAGCAATTTGAAACCACTTGTTTGATGGTGTAATTGTTTACCGATTTGCAAATATAAATTATGTAAATTCTGCTTCTCTTCAGTTAACTGCGAGCATGAATCCTAATGACCTCAATATTAAAAGTGTGAAGCACTACATCATTTTCAAAAATCAATAAATACCAAATTCATTGCCGTGTATACAAGAGGACAGCCTCCATATCCTGTCAACCATATTTTTAAATTAAATTAATTTGTTATTAATTTGTTTCCTCTCGCAAACAGGATGCTGATACTGAGCCCCCCCCCCCAGGAATGCAATTTCATCTCATGTTTAACATGACTTTTCCATCAGCACTTCCCTCTTTCTGTAATCTAGAAGTGTGAAGCTCTTTCTGTTTTGTTCCATAAAGCATTCTCCTTTAGTGCTACGATCTAAACCGGTGGCAGCCAATCACAAAGGCAGAGCAGAGAATGAAAGCACAAATATTTTTGTTTTACAGTAAATCGATATGCTGCAAGTATGGATGCTGTTTAGTTTGTGAATAAATAATCTTTGTAAAAAGCTTGGATAAATGAGTTGAGTCTTCAGGTTACAACATTCAGACGCAGCTAGAAGACAAGAGGTTATTTAAAGGATTATGCCCACATTTCTAAATCTGTAACTGAGCAGGCGAGATGCAATCTGCTAAACCATTTCTGTAGTCATCTCCTCCAAAGAGGACAACTGAGAGTTTTGCATTGGCAAGGGACAACATTCCTATAGTTGGTACAAAAGTACAGCAGGGATCCTTTATCTGACATCTCAGCTCAACACAGAATGGACAAAAGATGGACGAGGCAAGAAGATCCTCAGAGAAAACAGAGGCCTGTTAATACATGGAACCTGTCACGGGTATAAATGTTGTAACCTTTTGCTTGCTTTAAAGCAGGAATGCTGCTGCTTTAGTTTTCACGACGGCCGCCTCAATAAATCTCTCTTTCCGACATGACACAGGCAGGGGAAGTTGTGAGATAACTTGTGAAGATCGCAGCCTCCGTCTATAATATATTTAGTGACAATGACGTCCATGTTACTGGTAACATCATCAAGTACGACCTCTTAAAACAGTTTGTGACTTATTTTCTCGAAAGAAAGTTCTTTCTGGAAATAACATACATAAAGAACCTCTACAGTGTCTCTTTCAAGCAGATCCTCAATATGTTGTGAAGCACAGAAAACTACTGCAGAACTAACAATAAACACAAGTCTTTTGGGACTCTCCCCTCACATTCTCCTTTTCCCTTTTCTCAAAAGCAGCAAATCTGCAATAATCCATTATAGCAAAACAGAAGGTTTGATGTGCAAAATTACAGTACCACTGCTTTCTCATCATTGAAAGTGCAATCTTTCAAAACCAATCTATGAAGAGATTTAAAACTGGAAATGTCAATGGTTAAGCGTGATGCAGCAGAGGTAGTTATTACAATTTCACAACTAACCAACAAAAGTCACAACTACAGAAGAGGCCTCAATGTGAGTTTAAGACCCTCCAAGGCTCCGACAGATTTAGCCCCGATTAAAATGTCCAACCTCAATTCAAAAGATGAAGGTGTAAAAACTGTCACGTCAGCCTCTCCCAGAGGGGTTTTTGGCATAGCGTTAGGATCTGCAGAATGTGTCGGAGGTGGCAACATCAGCACTTAATTGGTTCAAAAACCCTCTCACAGTTGAAAAGGTTCCATGTGTTAATCCGTCATACTGACAGCCCTGCAATGGATTCCTCTTTGTGGATAATTTTGCCAACACTATCCTAACCTTGTTCTATCTATTCTCCTCATTTAAATTATTTTTGGGCAAACAAGCATTGAGGTTGAAAGACTATAACATTTACAGTATGTCAGCAAAACGCTACGACACAATACAAACAATACTGTTGACGTCAACCAACCATACAGCATTAGAAATGAGCACAATCCTACTCCAATAGTTATTTTACCAGGGCGACAATCAACATATGAAGATCTGTAATACAATGATGATTCAAAATGGCTAGTTGTGAAAGAAGCTTGTTAGCTTTTGGATCTAGATTCTGCAGTAGAAGTACTTTTACGAGGCATTCTGGCTCTATAATTCCCACTACTCCCCATCTGTGTTCATTTTTTCCTTCCTTGCTGAAGGCGATATGCCATCCCTGCTGCACTAAAGATGTGTCTGAGGTATCACTGCCCTAAAACTGCCTCTCACTTTTGCTGACCACAGTGTATTATTTTCACTCTTTAACCACAGGTTGACCGAGTTGCTCTAGTGGCGAGGTTGCTCAAAAACATCCGTTTTTAGTTTTAAAGTGGCCATTAGGGGTGAGAGATTTGTAAAATGTCAAACTTGTTTGCAGATGACACAAATTTATGACTGAGTGAATTAATTGAAAGGCTAAATGTAAAGCAGCATAAGGGCTTAATCTAAATGAAATAACGAAGGAAAATAATTGACTTCCTCGGGGCAGAGGTCTAACACTTACCGTTATAACTTCCTCGGATGTACACAGCAGTAAACAATGGAACACATTAAATTTGAGGCAATTAATGCCCCGTCTGCACACACAATATAGTCTTTGACCTCTTTTTCAATGCAACATCCAAAAAACAATAGAAGATCAATACTAGGTTTTATTATCTGCTGCTTATGGTGGCGAGAGACGGTATCAGGACATTTACCAAGATGATGTGCTGTCAATACCCTCCGTGCTACTTTGGAAAATATGTTTTGAATTAACAGTAAGGCAGGTGGTGGGTGTGGGTTTATATATATTCCTAGTATCACAGGACCAGACTCACCTCCTAATCTTTTCTCAACATTGATCAAACCCATTGTTATCGCTGTAACTGTGTTACCACAAAATAATCTTTTAAAAGGTGTAATCAGACAACATGTAATGCCTCGTTTTCACATGCGACGTCCACATTGTGCCTTCGTATAGTGTGAACAGTCGCTGGACCCGGTGGTAAACTTTAGCTTTCAGCCGTCTCGGCTGTCTTGTAGTTTGACCCGGGTCCTCCAAATCTGCAGCATTACCATCAATCTCAATAAGGACACGCTCAAGGGATGACTGACCTGCTGACTTAAAGTAGCCTGTTCAGCTGAGTACAACACATCAGTGCAATTTCAGGATGACAGAGAGGCCGCTCATCTGTGCAAATCAATAAGGAAGTTGGAGTGTTGTGTATGTTTGAACTTTGAGGCTGATTTCTTTTTAAAGTTAGGTGAAACTGCATAAAATTACGTTCTTTTGAGAAGCTTGTTCTTATTTTCCATTGGGTTTATTTCCAACTATACACCAAATAATAACATTGCTTATCTATGGATTAAATGAAACAAAATTATGATGATCTTTGTCTACTGTATACACCATTTCCCCTCTTTCCTTTTTGTTTTGTTTACAACCAAGACATCCTTTTCCCCTTCTCTTCTCTCATTTAAATAAGGAATAATAAATTAGTAAGTAAATAATGAATGTTTATTGTACGATCCGCTGAGGAGGGTCTCCCTTCACGATGCACATTATAAAACAGCAGAAATCTTTATTCATGGGTCTACTCTTGTGCGAGTGTGTGCACAAGTTGTCAATTAGGCAAACACATAATCAATTCTGTGGTTGAAAACAAAACCTCCAAGGAAAAGCTTACCCTTTGCCTCGTGCTCTCTCTCACTCTGGCTGTGTGTCCGAATCCCTCTCTCTCCTTTGATTGTCTGGTTTTTGTCTGTACTCTCTATGTCCGTCTGTCTGCTCTTCATTACACTAAATATTATATTAACAGGAAAAACAAAACCTCTCTCTGCTTGGTCTTCTGTCAGTTGCACCATTTGTGTTGAAAATGCAACATGGGTAAGGCTGCACTGCACTGCAATTGAGGCTACAGTAGGCGTTGGTTAGAATCTGTAGAGATTTGTGTGTTTTCATGTTTATCAGATGTTTCATACACAATTATCCCCTTCATGACAAAAGTATGTTTTCAAAGGGCAATTTTAATTTTGGGTTTAAAATAAAAAATGTTCTTCCAACAGAAAGCAAAAACAGTCATTGTCAGTCTGTTTTGTCATCCTCACCTTTTTCTGTTTGTGTAGGTGTGTGTGTAGGTGTGTGTGTGGCTAACTCACCCCAGCTGGTCTGTCAGGTTCCACAGTACATTGGGTGTGGGCATTAGTGGTGAACCGTCATATAAAACCACAGAGGCTCCCACTGCCAGAGCAGACACCAGCCAGTTCCACATCATCCAGCCGGTCTAAGCACAGCACACACACACACACACACAGTGGTCAGTTTATCTGGCATAAACACTCCTTTCTCATCAACATGGATAAATGGGTAGCAAAATTGAAAACTCATGCAGACTGTGAGTTATGCATCTGTGGTTCACATAATTGTGTTTCTCTTTATTTCTGCATGCTGAGCTACTGCTTCGGCATCGTCCCCAATACTTTTGCATATTGATTGTAACGTTAGCTCCACAGACAATTGTTTGCGGAGCAAATACAGTATGTACAGTGTACACTGTGTGAGGCACTTATACAATTCCAGTTAGTGAAACGATTAGTCAGTTAATCAATAAGATTACAAAAAAAATTGACAAAAAAAATGTAGAAACATTTCTGACAATCAATAAATCATTGAGGTCATTTATCAAGCAAAAATGCCAAATGTTACCTGGATCCCGCTTCTGAAATGTGAGGACTTGCAGCTGCTCTCTATTTTATATCATTGAAAATGTAATACTGGTCGAGATGCACCGATTGATCCAAAAAACAATGTCTCTCTGTGTTTATCATCAAAAGGAGCAAGAATCTTCTAGGAACAACTACAAATGATGCACAGCTCTGACCTTCAACACTCAATGCTGCTCATTAGACAAGATCATTGTGTGTGTGTGTGTGTGTGTGTGTGCGTGTGCGTGCGTGCGCGTGTGTGTCCAAGCTCATGATTAAAAACAGTCCAAAATTCTTCTCTGCTGGTAACTGAGATGAAGCAACAAGGGAGCGGTCATATGAGCATGTCATATGTATTGTGAAAGGTTCGCAGACCTACCGTGGTGTAGTAAATGATGACATCACTGCTGGTCATATTGCCATGGAGAATGTGTTCTTTCAAGTGTTGGATGAGCGTGCCCTACAGAAGTGAGAAAGAGAGAGGGATAATGACTTGTCATCAGGTTTTTGTTCATGACTTTGACATTTGATGATCGCTACCCCTGTCTGGATATTGTTTATTAACAAAGGTAACAGTGCTGATATGAGCTGACACGTACATTTGACATACAGAAGGCACAAAGACACCTGCTTATTAGAGGCTGTAACAAAAAAAATACTCCATGTTCAAATTACATCAACTACTGCAGTTCCCATTTCATGCTTGCAGCGTTGTCAAGAACTGTTCATCGCTCGTTGACTGCAGGGAAGCGAAGAAGAGTTCGGTGGTGTCGTTAGTACATCCAGCATCCAACGGCCTTTAAAGGTTTGCTGCGGAAGACGCGCTCAACCCAGTCCGCAGAGCCCTACAGCCCCGACGCTGAACAGAGCGCTGTTGCTTGTTTATTGATGTTGAACATGCTGCGTGTCCACCAAATTTACACTGCATGTCCGACGCACGCACGCACGCACGCGCACGCACGCGCACGCGCACACGCACGCGCACGGTTGCAATAGCACAAAGCCTTCAAGGGACTTCTTATTTGTAATATGAGCCAAAATATGAGCAAACTTTGAGGGCCAGCAAAAGCAAAACTGAATGAAACATCATAAAGTAACTTTTTCTGGCTTGGTCCAAAGATGTTCTGTAGCAAATTTAATGAGGAGTCCTCAGAATTTGATAGAGTAGCAGGGGAAATAATTGATTTGGACATTAGATCTAGACGTAGTGTGGCTTGTATGGATAGATTCTTCTGGACCCACAGAATCAAGGAGAAAAAATATATTTCCGTTACTGAGACTTATGGTTGAACAGCTACACAACCAGAATGTAAAGTCTGTTATTGTAGCTCCCCCATCTGGCTAAAGTGCAGCAAGTTTGACACATCCTTGTGTCCCCAGCAATACACACGGCATGTGTGAAGTAGATCGGATGAAGGGTTGTCGAGATATGAAAAGGACATACACACATACATATAGCCAGACAGCGATTCCTTGCTTTATAGTTAGATATAATAATGTGTACGTTCCTGGTCGCATAAACAGGTGCACTGTCTGTGTGTGTGTGTGTGTGTGTGTGTGTGTGTGTGTGTGTGTGTGGGGTCTTTGGCAGAACTCAGCTGCCATGCCAGTCCTTTGGTGCGTGCCATCTTGCTACTGATAGCATGTTAACAGAGCTGTAACAAAGCAGAGAGCGCAACAGTGCTGGGGCTAATTGGTGGAGCCAGAGAGGACTGCCAGCGTCGCAATACGAAATGTTTTCATCAATGCAGTAGGGTCCAATTATCGGTCGCATGGGGTAGAAGGAGGGGGGCACAAAGGAAAGAGATCGAGAGGATACATAACAGAAAAAAGGGAGCTAGAAGAAAGAAGATGTAAATCAGGGGGAAAAAAAACTAAAGAGCAAGCCTGTAGAGGAGGGCTGAGTGGAAAAAAATTAGACAATGCATGAAAGTTAAGGATAGAAAAGCCAATGTGAAAGACGGCGGGAATGTATCGGAGAGGGAGAGAGAGAGAACATTTTGTGAAAATGTGTGAATGCATTTGTTCGAGTGTGTTAAACCGTTCTGCATGTTGAGTGTTTCAGACTTCAAAGTGCAGTGGCGCTTTTGAAATCACACATTCATCCGACGCTCTCCTTCACTCAGATGTGGAATGTAGCAGGAAAAAGTGATATTCATGCTCCTGAGAGCGGATAACCTTTGGAAGATCTGATGATGGAGGTTTCCTGCCATCTTGTGGTGGTAAATGTAATATAAACCAATAAATGATAGGCATACAGTTACTTCTACTGTGAAGCTCGCCATGAGCGACTCATATTTTGTTTTAATTTGATTAATAAGATTCTTTTGTCTGAAAAAAAGTACTGAAAGATGATGTAATATGAAGGCATGACTGAGGACACACACAATCGTCCCTACGTCATTAACATATTTCTCAGCAGTGCTTTTGCTCTTTATGTGCCAACCAAGCTTGTGTAACATAACTAGATATTATTTCATAAGATCATATTTTAATTACCAAAAGCTCCAGACCAGCTACGAAATGGACCCAAGTTATTTTTAACTGCCATTTCCAAGGCCAAGAGTTAACTTTAAAACTTAGCTCTTAAAGCTACAGTTGTAATCTTACTATACATTTGCTCAAACTGCCACTATATTCTGTCAGTAGCACATGAGACAGATAATCTGCCTCCTTTTAGTTACATAGCACGACAGCTGGATACTCGCAGTATCACGAGATCACGCGAGAATCGTGGAATCACATATCACACAATAATCCATCTTTTTAGGCTTCAAGTAATGTGTCCGAACCATTACTTGAAGCTTTTGGGAAGACTTTTGGGGAGACTTCGATTGACAGATGGTTCATCCCGTCAGCTCAGCTGCCCTTTTCCAAACGCCCGATGGAAAACAACCAATCAGAGCCGAGGGGGTCGCTAAAGCAGCTTTCAATCACTGCTCGTGAATTCTGGTCAAACTGCCAAACTAGCAATATGAATCAAGATCCTGTTACTAAATTGCCTATTTCAAACTGTACATGTGGGCCAAACCAGGAGAGCTCTGTAAACAGACGCGAGCAGCGTGTGCTAATGTGTGTGTGTGTGTGTGTGTGTGTGTGTGTGTGAGAGAGATGGAGAGAGAGAGAGAAAGAGACAGCTGCGATCCATATAACCCTGATGGAGCAGTCACAAAACTGGCAACAGAAGTGTCACTTTGTTGCCGTTTTAGTGTCCGCTCAACAAAGAGAGGGGGAGTGATCCATATTTATGATTTGGGGGATAATGCAAGACAATGTTTTTCTTACCCCAGCAGAGTGGACCATGCATTTCGGAGCTCCTGTGGTGCCAGAAGAGTACATGATGAACAGAGGATGACTGAATGGAAGCTGCTCAAACTCCAGCTGAGGAAACTGGTCAGCCTCGCCACGACCAGACGCCAAGAAATCATCGATAAATACACTGCAGAAGAAGAAAAACGGAGAGAAAAGAAATGAGACAAAGAAGAAATTAAAGACAAAACTGATACAAGATATGGGCAAGAGAGTATATCTCAGACCTGCTCTCAGTCTAACAAAAGTATCTGTTCAGTTTCAACACTTGAGTCTAGTCGTTTCCACAGACACACACCTGTTGGGTATCTTGGAGAGGTCCGTCTCTTGTTTGGAGCGAGCGTAGGGAATCACCACGACTCTCTTCAGGTCAGGCAGACCTACAGAGAGACAGAGAGAGTCGGATGCGTCACACTACAACCTTATGAAAAGCAAAGACGGGATCCCAGAGGAGATCCATGAACATGTAACACATTTTGGTTCTTTACGGAAGAGGATTATTTTCAGTGAGGGGCTCAAAGATGCTTGGTAATTCTCTGGACACTCCAGAGGTAGCAGATGAAGAAATCCTACTTCATCCTTTACATCTATCAAGTATCTGTCATGCATTCATTCCTCCAACTGTTTAATCTGGAGTAGAGTTTTTATTCAACTCTACTGGCATTAACCCTTAAATGGCTCAGTCTACTTGTTAGCAGAAATTCCCTCCAGGATTTACCACCAGCTCGCTGAAGAAGCCGAATGTATTTGGGAGTCTCTATAATGAATTGATGATAGTCAAACCTTTGACGACACTGATCAGCTTGTCCATGTGGTCATGTGTTTTCCCGTTGTAAACCACAGCAGCAACAGAGAAGAGCAGCTTGGGCTGGATTTGGGAAAACCTGTCAAGGACACCCTGAGACAAAAACGAGAGAGAGAGAGAGAGAGAGCAGGTTAAAACCAAAAAGGAGAACACTGGAGTAAGCAGACAGGAAAGCCTCAGCAAAATAAAATCATTCATTATTGAATATGTTCTACAGCGTTACAAACTACTTAAAGAGTTAACAGGACAAAACATATATGGTCAATCAAATAACTTCCTTTTTGGGCTGAAGACATATTTTTATTCTAAGTGTAGTTCTCTGACCTGCCACACGGGGCAGTAGCACACCAGAAATAAGAAGCAGACACCATGATGACAAAAAAAAGATCACTGTGGAAGAAGATGCTGAAGGATGAAGTTAACTACACTCTACACACTTGCCCACTCGCACACGACATGTTGCCCGACGGATCTGATTCTGTATTTCCTCTTCATGTATATGTTTGTTTGCATATGCAAGTGTGTTTTGCCAGTCATGAATCCCCTGTAAGTATTGATAAAATTGACCTCATTCGCTCCAGGATTAGGAGACAAAAAAATGTTGCTGTGACACAAGTACTCAGAAAACACGCTTATTCAGCAACGATGTGTGCTTGAAAGTCCTCAAAAGTTTATTTTTACTTGGAAAATAAAGCTTACAAATTCCCCTCTCCATGGGAAACTGGTTTTACTATCAAATCTAGTTTGAACGACTAAAACAATGAGAAAATAAAAGAGTGTTGATGATGCAATGGAATAAAAAAAAACTCAAACTTATGTAAAGAAAGACATACAAGCTCCAAACAGTATAATAGAGTCCTTACGTTGACTCCAAAGTCGACTGACGTGGAGCTCCAAATGGCTCCAATGCTGGCTGCTGCCAACATGGCCTCCACTGCATGGATACCATTGGGCAGGTAGCCTGAGGGGGAGAGAGGAGGGAAACATTATGTTCAAGCAGCAATCCATATGATCATCTTAAACGGCTATAGATGTATGTAGACTTTAAAAATAGAGTATTAAGATGGTTTTAGCTAAACGTACAGAACTACACAAGTATAAATATATATGTACATATACAAAATGTGCATATATGCATCATTGGCTTACAATCAATCTGAGATGCCTGATGTCAATGGCAAAGGTTGAACTAAACTACTAAAAGAAAACGATGGATTGGCCAGACTCTCACATTACAGACACTGGGCTGCTTTGTTGATAACAGTTATCTAATCTAACATTATAAAACATTATAAAGGAAGCTGATCTTTGCTCGATGACGTCTGACAGATCACCATCCTGCTATTCTGGTTCTACAGACACTCGTAAATCATTATCCTCTCTCAGTGGACCAGCATGTATAGCGTCATGGATCATAATCTTACTGCAACGCCTTGCTTGACTGCCTCCGTGGCTCCTTTGATGAATCACTATCTCACTGTGCTGTAACAACACGGCAAAGCAACACATTGCAACCATCTGATATATCATGCCTACTGTTAGAAAACTTTTCAGATTCGATGATAACCACTGAATGAAAGTCAAAGCCCTTAAGGATGATAATGGGTTTAATAAAATGCAGCATCACAGTGCTATTGTGCTACGTGGTTAGCGTTTCATTACCCTACCAATTCATTCATATTAATTTCAAGGACTCGAAAGTATCAGGAGATACAGAAAAAACATCTTTGTTGGATTTTTTTTCCCCATTAAAAAAACATGTTTGAGCCCCGTGAGTTGAGCAGTAATTGGATAATGGTTACAATTTCTGGGAACATACCCTGGAGGAAGGCTCTTAACCCATGGGAGGCTACCCTGTGGTAAACCGGGCAACGTAAATGATGAGAAAATAAATAAAGCTTTTTAAAAGGTGCCCTGTAGAGTTTTCTTATGAAAACAAAAACAAACATTCAGTGTTCCTCACCAAAACACATGTTTATCCTTGAGCACTTTTTCTTCCTCATGAAACAATTGCTAAGTTGTCTTTTTTCAATTATTATTAAATCGTGAATTGTTTACGTCCGCGTTTACTTAATAGCAGTTTTCTTCTTCTCTGCCCTAGCGGACATTTGTTGACACAGTGTCACCACCTAGTTGCTTTGGCAATACTGCAAGAATTAAGCAAGGAGGACATTAAATAAGTGTCTTAACCAGAGTTGAACCACCATGGTGTAAAGCTAACATAGCTACCACTGAAAATCACAACAGCCTGACTAGTATTTCAGTCTTGATCTGAGTCCAAGTTCAGCACTGAGATGTTCCGGTATAAAGTGATAGAGTGCTTGTGGTTGGTACAAACTTCTTAGTCATCTGGAAAACTATGGGTGGAGTTAGTTTAGGTTCCGTCTTTCAAAAGCAGCTTCTATGAACAGTAAAGAAGAAAATCAGGAAAATCAGGATCTGAATGGCATTGTTTTCCTGCTAGCGTGGCCACATTTGGAATAACACATGGCCACACTAAACAGGCAACGTGTGTCAGAAAATCCATAGTCGTGTGTGTGTGAGTTAATTTTGCTTAAATGTTCAATGGTGTAATTTCTATAAATCAAACCATTTGTATTTGTTTATAACATCTTATTTCAAGTGATAATGCTGCTATTTTTAAATTTCATTCAAAAGACTGTGGTTGCAGTTTTTAGTGAAATAGAAATCAAGGATGAACAGTGGGCGTGAAGGCTAGATACAAGCTTCATATCAAGGTGGAGAGTGATGGTGAAGATGATGAGACCAAGGGCAAGAGCAATGGAAGTGAAGTGCACGAACGGGAGCATTAAAACGTGTGTGTGTGTGTGTGTGTGTGTGTGTGTTGGGTCGGCTCTTTTACTGCTATAAAGCTTGGTTGGCTTCATCAGCTAAGTGCTTATACATCTCCTGGATTACAGACACTGTCAAGGTATTTTAGTTACAACCTGAGGACAAGGACATCTCTGTCCCCAACACACACCAGCGAGCACACACATTCAAAACACACACACTTCCTGTGAGGAATGTAAAGGGGAAAGGAGGGAAAAGAGGCATAAGGAAGCTGGAAGCTGGAATCTCTCTCTCTCTCTCTCTCTCTCTCTCTCTCTCTCTCTCTCTCTCTAATGAGATTCCCACAGAGCTTAAGCCATTTAGCTAATGGATTTCCCTACCGCAATATCCATCTTTCCTCTGAGCGCACGCACGCACGCACGCACTACTAGTGCGCCTGTTCTCTGCCATCTTTATCCAGACAAATTGTTTGTAACAAAGGGGCTTATAGGACGTGTTCAGTCCAACTTGAGCAGAAACAGAAGTTGTTTCACGGAATGAAAGGTTCAGACATCAGAGATGCTACTACGATATTTGACAACCTCTGTAACTGAAGCCCCTGATACTGACACAGCACAAACAGATCGATACACATCGCGGCGTTATGGTGAGAACAGAGAATGACTCAGAGACAGTGATGGATAACACACGTTTGCTATATCTGACACACAAAGTAAAGGCATTGCATGGACCTCTGCTATAACCAGGCTGGCTGAACTACTTAAATACTCTCTGGTGACAAAGTGCTCTTTGAAAAAAAGATACAAGTCACTGAAATGATCTGTTAAGTAGCTGTGGGTGAGGTATTGTTATTACATTACACTAACTCGATTATTTTAAATGACTAATATTAAATAAAGAATAACAGATCGGTTTGCTACAAAAGTGAAAGAATAAACTAAAGCATTTGACACTTGTGTGAATCTGAATGGATGTACTGTACAGTGAGGAGCAGCAGAAAAACATGAAAATCAGCCATTCCACCTTGTACAAATATGAACTTTGAAAAAACTAAATGGACACTTTCAGAAAAAGCTGCGACTTGTGCCAAGACAGCAAGCCTTCCTTAAACACGGGTGGAACTATAGCAAAAGAGCCCACATCCAACTTATGTTGCAACAAGTTTCAAATCAGAAAGAAGGAAGAAGTAAGGAGTGGATGGAGAACATTAGAAGACAAAAGGAAAAAGACACAAGTCAGGAGGAGAGCAATAAATCTATCGACCAGCTCATTTTGGTTGGAAATCAACCATCACGTGGCTGATAATAACAGTTATATAAAATGTTGATGCCATTCGGTAAAACATTTGAGACTCACCTACGACCCTGTCTCCAGTCTGGAGGCCCATCTTCCTCATGGCTGCAGCAAACAATGCGACATCACGCCTCAGCTCCCCAAACGTCACCTTCACAATCTCATCATTGGCCTCCGCTGGTAGACACGGAAACAAAGATAAATATGTACATGTCATGAAAATCTTGTTAACGCTTCAGACCCTTCCACATGTTTTGATTGGTTTAAACATTCAGGCTTTGTGCACCACTTTGTAAATATTGTATTTATTTATGGGTTGATATAAATGCCAATAAAAGTTCCAACCCAAAGCAGAGAGAAAGTAAAGCAAGGAGACAGAGATGGAGACATAAATAGAGAATGATAGTGTGACAGGAACGGTCCTCTGTCTCTCTCTAAGTAAGTTTACTGACATCCACAGAGGCTCCACATCCTTCTCCTAATTGCATTACAGTGTGTGTGTGTGTGTGTGTGTGTACATGGGTGCGGGCATGAGTGTGCGAAAGCCCACTCCCCCTCCTATACACACAGTCGTGGCAATAAAGAAGTGCCTATCCATTAGTATGCGACAGCTCTGAGAGATAGAGTAGGGAGCAGCAGTTAATCTATTAACGAAGTGACGATTGCAGCCTTGCTCGATTCTGCGACCAAATGCAACCTGAACTCTGTTCTTTCGTGCAACTCAGGAGGACAAACCCACATCTTGTTAAAAAATAAGCTGCAAACACATCAGACTGCAGAAACTGGATTGAAAGGTGTTTCTGCTTTATCAACACTGCCTTGGTTGGGGATTTGATTCATACTAGAGATCAATAAAGCCCGTCTGTGTCACATATGTTGCTGTGTATTACACAGTTGTTTTTTTAAATCAGCATTGTATACTGTTTCCACTTACTTGCAGCATAGAGAGCTACTTTGTCCTGGTCTGCATGTTTGAGCAAGTTCTCAGCGTAGTTGAGCCGAGCACCTTGAAACCACTCTGGAACATCCGAGATCCGTTTGGATAAATCCACAACCTGGTACACACCCATAGAACACACACAGCATTGTCGTTGACCAAGGAGACCATGCATTTTAACACTGGCAGAGACTGAAGTACACAAATGGGACTGTACGATAAAAGCCACTGCTTTACATATTTATCAAGCCCTTTGTAATATGTGACGTGTTATCCATGTGTACAAATGAGGTGTGTTAACAACATGACACAGCATCTTAACCTTAGACACCACTTACTACCTCACACATACACACCGGAGTGGCTTTATCTTTACACATTAGATAGTAAATGCAATAATAAACACAAAAATTAAGATTATTTGAAAATCAGTGATACCTCCTTTTTCCAACGGGCTCTTTAATGCAGCCTTGTCAAAAATAAGTGCAATTCTAATGTCAACAAATGGTTGCAAAATGCCATCATAAGCCGTGCAGTCTTTGAGTTTAGACAGGGCGGGAAACGTTCACAAACTATCTGCAAAAATAAATGTGTCACATGTTGTACATTTTATCTTCTCATTAAGGATGAATCCTATCAGATTATTTCCATAGAAAATAATGACGAAGGAAGACTTCTCACCAACTCGTAGCACAACAATGAAGTTATTTAGTCATATTTACACTTCAATGGGCCTCATTCACTATTTTCTATCTTAAATCCCTGCACAGACGGTCAGATTCACAATTGGAAACAATTGTTTTTATGGGTGGGGGCTTGAGCGGGACAACAGGACACAACACTTTCATAGGATAGATGCACGCAGTGGATACACAACCTTTCGTGCCACAATCCATAATAATAACTTGTGCGTATTGATAATCATGAGCAAAATGTTGTTCTTATAGGCGAACACTTTGTCAGTGAGAAAATGTTAACTAATCCCATCATTTGTTTTACAGTGTAACATAACGGGGTTAGTTTGAGGTATGACAATAAATGAGGTAATGTACAACGAATGCTGTTGAAAATTACCACCAAAGAAAATGCTGGTCATTCACTGAATCTTTATGCTGAGTTTCTCTACTCTGCCAGACGTTTCAAACCCCGAAAACATTATCTGTTGGCAATATTCAATTCAAATTTTAGGCTAAAATCGAAACCATTCTCCTTCAGGACAAACCAGCAGAGGCTGGACTCACCTCTTCATATGGCTTGGAGCTGACGACGCCACAGAAGCGCCACACTTCTGCCCAGAAATCTGAATAACTGTCCACCGACCACTGATACAGCTCATTGTAGTTGACTAGAAGACAGAGAATCAAGGATTACTACAGATTTATAACAAAAACATCTGTTTACAGGTGTGACTGTCAGCTCAAGCATGTGATGTCAAGCTCATACAGATGACTAAATACTAGAACAGGTCAGGCATTAGTACAAGTACATCGAAAGCAAAACAAGATTTATCCTGACTACCAAATTTGAAACCACTGATTTAAGGGGAAATATATGCCAATACATATTAAACACTAATAATCAATACGCCTGGTTAAAAAGAAGAGAAGAGAGATTTTGGTTCAGTGAGGACCTAAAGAATTAAAAGTTAATGTTCAGACAGTTTGGAAAATCAAGGCAGGTGTTGAGGTGAAACTCCATTTCTGACGTTATCAATTATTTTATTTTAATTTCACACACACACAAAGCTGTCCACAATGACTCCAACCTCTCCCCAATTACATAACTCTCTCTCGGGGTTGTTCAGCATTCCTCCAGAGCCCTGTTTGCCTAAATTTACGACACAACGGAAACAGGTCGTTGTCTCTCATCTCTACTACTTCAGTGAGGAGCCGCGAGCAAACCAAGCACGAGAGCAAGGCAGAGCTGCAGTCTTATACACAGCTACTTGTTATTAAAAAGGAGTGGTGAGAACCTGCATACATGTGTTAACATGCGGAATCACTGTCTCTCCAGTAAGCCAAATGGTTGCACACCAAAGCTAGCTTGAAACACTGCAAAGCAGCTTTATAGCTTGGTAATCGACAGATAGCAGAGGGAGACACTGTTACTGTGTTTCTATTCAGCTTAATAAATAAAATCCGACTTTAAATCTCTCTGTTTTAGTGCTCGTCTGTCGTCCTCCATCGTCTCTACGCACCGAGATTAAATCCGTAGTCCCGGTTGACCTGTTTCCTAAACGTATCCATTAGTGTGTTCCTCTTGGAGTCCGGGTACCACAGCACCTTGCTCTCCATGTCCATGATTTTCTCGTTCTTCATTTCCGTGTCTTTAGACATCTTTGTCGCCGTCCTTTTTGTCCGCTGGCAAACAACCGGTTGACGCTAGCGCCTCGCTGAAGCTAACTGTCCCTGTGCTGAGGGCTCGTGTTGGGGTTAAATTAGATCACCGGCGAGCTGCTTGGTTTGAATGGCTGGGGAATTACAGCGCGCGACAGCTAACCAGGGCTCTCTGTCAAAGGCGAGCGTGGGGCTGCCGAGGAAAGCTGACAGGCCACGCCCTGGCGTCATGACGTAGCAGAGCGAGCTGGGTTCAAGAACGCAAAGTGTTCAACGTTACACAAAATCATTTGTACATGTACCTATGTTATTAGATAGATAGATAGATAGATAGATAGATAGATAGATAGATAGATAGATAGATAGATAGATAGATAGATAGATAGATAGATAGATTATTAATCCCACAAGGGGAATTTTTTTCGCTACTGCAGCAATTATGGTACAGGTAAGTATAATAACAGACTAAAAATATTAAGTATAAAATGCAAATATCAAATGCACAATATATACAATAAAAATAACAGAGTAAAAATATTAGATGTAAAAATGCACAATACAATGAAATAGAATATTAAATGAACTAACTAAACAGTAGTGCAAAGATTTAACCAAACAACAAACAAACAACAGAGTAACGCAGTTACAGTCTTGTAAATTATTTGGCCAGAGGTGATTTATTGTAGTCTTATTGGCAAAACAAATTACAGATATTCGGTCGAAAGTTCTGCTAGAATGAAAGTAAAATATCACCGGTGTGTCTCCAGACCCTTGATACAAAAAAACTTGTATCCCGCCAAAATATTATTGTAAATTGCTAAACTTCATAACTTTATATTTTCACCGTTTTATATAGTCAAACTTCAGAAAGAAATTTGAAATACTTTTGGAGGAAAAAAGTATGACTACAATGCATTGGTGAAATGTACGACCATTCGCTCAGGAACTTCTACTTAACTTGATGTGATCTGTATCTCTTTTGTCACAACTGTGACCAAAATAGTTTCCCTATTGAGTTATCTAAAGTATGCAAATTATTCCACGACCTCGCCCTGCCTGTCTGTGAAATATGCCTCTGAAATATGGCATTAATTTTACCAATAAAAAGCAGATGCGTTTCTACTGGCAAGTGAATAATCTCATATTCTTAACGGTGAGCATGTATAGATTTCGTGGATTTTATAACACCGTCGTGGGACTCCATAGAAATCTTGAACATCACCCACACGTGAACGCGCAATAGAATTAACAGACCAGTCTCGTTCACGTGGGGAATTTGCCTGTCAAAACGAAGGGTTTTGATTGGTCCCCAGCACACTGGTTCCACATCAGCCGACGGATCGGTCTATGCTGAGGGCGTATCATCAGCGTTGGACTGGCCTGTCGCTTGATCAATGGCAAGCTGGATTTGATGCTTCAGAGGAGGCATATTAGCCAATCAGAGAGCAATGATGCAGGAATGTTTAGGGGTGTGCCCAATCAATGAGAGGGAAGAACGGCCCCCTCACTGTCTGGTGAGGCCTTCTCAACTTTGATGCAATGATTCCAATCCTTCTGGTTAGGCCATGTTCTGTCTAGTCTTGTCTAGTTCGTATTTCTGTATGCCCTTAATTAATTCTCTTACCTGAGGCAATTTCACAATAACGACACGAAAGTTTTTGCACTTTTTTTTAAACAAAATGTGATGCTTTTACAATTTGTGAAAATTAGCATTACAGTCTCTTTCAGGCACCATGGCAATCCCAGTGCCCTGCATCGTTCAGTCATCAACCAAGTGCAATTGGAAATGTATCCATTGACATCAGGCGAACCTAAAATGCCACCTGCACATAAAACATAAGTGAAGGCTTTTGTGATTACAAAAGCATAAAAAAATACTAAAAAATGCTGGCTTGCTAAGAGAGGTTACAAAAAGATATTCTGTGATCCCAGCATCTGACATTTTTTGTAGTTGTTTCAATGATACACAAATAACAATGAACACAATAATACTCATTCAGTGTTAAATTTACATTTCATTCACAGTGCTCATGAATAATGTCTCCAGTGCCTTGGACCCAGAGTCCAGATTGCAAAAACGGTGGCCTCGTATCTCACTCCATGAAATCCAAGAGCAAATATGTGAGTCGGATACATGCTGTGAAATCACACTGTGTCTTTTTTGCCGAGTCATTATAATAAGGTGCATCAACCTCTAAACCACATGTTTGGACTATGCTTTTATCAAAGGGGCTGTGGTAAGACCTTGATTAAAGCATTAGCCAACACATAGGAAAGGGTGTAGGACACGAATAGGTGGATGTGATTATTTACATTGTATTGCCCAAACATACAAATGAACTGATTCTATGGCTGGTGCACAATGCGGACCATTTAGAAAGGTTCAAATTAATGTTAAAATAAATAAATAAGGGAAGCAGCTAGTATTGCTCATGGTCTCCCTGTTTACCACAAACACTGGCACAGCAACCGGTATACATCTTGTGGGTCTTACCAACAAAGTGGGAATGTATGATGCATCTTTAAACATTCTTTGGCCACAACATCCTTTTTCTGTAAATCTCAATACATTCTGATAAGTAAGTGCTGTATTGTATAGTGGCTGTGTTGGATTCTAAATGCATTGCATGCCAAAGCAGTGCATTGACCTTTTCTAGTTGCAGTAGTAAGCCAAAGCTTGCATAGACATCATAGGTAAGTCATTTGAAGGCTTTTTTTTTCAAAAGAAAAACTCCCCCACAAACTAATATTGGTTTGGGTGTCACATCTTTTCCCGAGGAAAGCATTTCATTTTCTCCTTGACTGTAACATTATGTGACATTATAAGTCAGCCTTCTTTAAAACGATTGCAAACCCCTAAATAAATGTTCCAGTCTCACTGACAAACCTTTTAGTGGCTGATTTGACTGATTCTGACTGACCTTGACGTTGAAAAAAAATGTATTTTGCAACAAGCAGTAGCAACATCTGTCATTATATTTCATCATGGAATTCTTCCCCAATGCCCGATCTTTGGACCTTGTAACGATAAACATGTAACTGACTCATGCATACTGTCATTCTTAAATTATATTTTGCAATATGTTGCATTTTGCAGCGTGATTTAGTATGTTGCAACACACTTTGGCAAATGAAGGACAAGTAATACATATCTCCTATTGATTTAAATACTAACTTACTGACCGACACACATTGAACCTTGAGCTTTACAATGAATCGGCCTTCTCAGTATCAGGCCTTTGACACGCTCCTGAGCTCCTTTGCCTTTATAAAGCCTACATACTGTTTTCACACCTGTTTACATCTCTGTGTATATATGTATTACTACTCATGACGCATATTACTGCATCCCTGTTTACATTACAGTTTACTCATTTTGCAATTACTTTCTACCACAAATATTATTGTATTTAGCCCTGTTTTTACTTTGCACTATTTTATCACTTGGATTTCTTTCTTTTTTTTACTTGTGTGATTTTCAGTTGGAAACTGCCATCTTGGGTTTGAAGACCAGTGTGGAACTTCAACTTGTGTGTTGACGTATTTGCTTACCTGTTCTTATCTTGTGTTGCCTGCAATCCACTGCAACATCTCCTGCCTCTCCTCCCTTTTTTTCTAGCTTAGGTAAGATATACATTTTTTCAATGGGGATATGATGTAAAATATCCTTATAAGCTTGATAAGGCTACACAATTCATTTGTAGATAAAATAAACAAGTTTGACAGGGTTTGGCAGAGACCTCACATTGATACAAGCCTGGGCTTTATATCATCATAATCCTAACATGGTGATTCACTCATTTAAACACTCACTGCTGTACTACCTGAATGTCACTCTGTGTGGAGAAGGATCTTAAATCAAATACATCAATTTGACAGTTATGTATCCAGTAGATGGCGTACTAGTACACAATATGTGAACTGCAAGAATACTGTCCTGGTGTGAATCTATATGGTTGTAGATTAGGCCCGACAGCTATTTTCTGTAATTTGAAGAATGTTATATGTTACAAAGTTTGACACCACAATATTTGTTGAAATCAAAGAGTATGTTATTTAAAAAAAACATGAATTTATTATTGTAGTAAATGTGCTATAATCAGAATCAGAATCAGAAATCACAAACTGTTTATTGTCAAGTATGTTAACATACAAGGAATTTGACTAGGTGATTTGGTATGTAACAGTAAAACACAGTGCAATAGTATGCCATAATGTAAAAATAGAAGATATGAAAAATTACAATAAAATATGGTAACTGCATAGTTGTACCAAAACCCTCAGCAATACTCAATAAGAGGAAGAAATACAATCTCAGAAAGAAGCTTATGGTAAACTAAATTTGTTCTGTATCTGGTGCGTTTAAATAGACTTTAGGCAGGCCTATTTCTTGAGGTATTCACAATTTGTCTGCATTTTAAAAAATATACTATATTTGAATACACATTGAATAATATATGCCAGAAATGTCATAATTCATCTGTACAAAATGTTTCCTGATGAATTAGGATTTCTAAATACTTTCATTGCTGACCGAAAATTACCTTTTTTCATACAGTTTAGTTACATATTGATGTTAGCGTGGACTTGCACACGTTGCGACATGCAAACGTATACACTGTAAGAGACGAGCATCCTTTTTTGTTTCATACACGTTACCCCTTACATCACATGACTTAATCGTGCCACAACGTCATCACCCTTCACGGAAGTCAGCAGTGGCGATGGTGGCGGCCTCATCAGCCTAGCAGCAGGAAGAGGATGTTTGCTTTCAGTGAAATACTAATATCACCTGATTTAAAGCCTTTATAACAGACTGAACTGTCATCGGGGTTTTTTGCTGGGATTAGACGGCGCGTTCCCTCACCCGGACCCCGGCCTCTGTGAGTCTGAAGCAGGGTCGCTGGTGATAAAATGTCCCTGTTCCAGTCGGCACTGGATTTCCTAGCCGGGCCCGGCTTGTCCGGAGCGGCCGGCCGGGACCAGAACGACTTCGTCGGACAAGTCGTGGAGCTCGGTGACATGAAACTGCGGATCAAGAGGGTGATCGCGGAAGGTGAGCTCGTACCACTGCGAGAAAAACGTTGATAAAGTCTTGCGCGGCTAGGCACGCTAGCTAGCTGAACGAGCTAACAAGGCTAGCACTAGTGACATACTTCTACTGGTAGTCAATGACAATAGCGTTTGCACAACTGCAGAGCTATGCGTCACTCAGCAAACACCAGTTGATCAGTTGGTTTCGCGTGTGTCTAACAAGCAGTAAATACATTTTGTGTGTGTGTGTGTGTGTGTGTGTGTGTGTGTGTGTGTGTGTGTGCTGAATGGTCTTGATGAGCTCTAAATCATGATAATAACTGCAGCTACAGACAAGCTGCATTTCACTTGTCCACCAACTCCCAACCCCATAGTTGACTAACGTTTCATAGCCCTCCTCAGACCTTATCGTCAGGCAGCAATACATGTCTGACTCAAGATAGATACCAGAGTTGGGGGGGGCAGAGAGGCATGTCGTGGTAGAGTTAATAAAATACCTGTGATGACAATGTTGTTACCAAAACTACATTCCTACAGCTAGTCAATATGGACAGCGCAGTGTGTGTGTGTGGATAAAAACAACAGCAATATAGTGAATATTGTTTTTTCTACTCACAATGTTTATTCGAAGGACTTATCTGACTTGATGAAAGCCTTTTTGATATATTCCCACAAAAAGGAAACTCCACCTCAGTCATGGTTTTCACTTTTTTTGGGGGGGGGAGGGGATAGTCAGTAACAATCTATAACAAAATTGTTTTTGTTATTCTGCAATCGTAGGAATTATTTCTTTGATATTTTTGTCATATAGCCTACAGATATGCAATGATGATTTCTGGGTAATGTGTATGTTGATATTTTGTTCAATGTGAAGTCTCTATTTGTGGGGTGGGGGGGGCAATACAATGGTGTGTGTGTGTGTGCTTTCATAACTAGTACCTATAGTCAAAAAACAGACACATCTAAGCACCTGCAGAGCTTTGCTGAGTTCTTTCTTGTGACATCAAGGGAGAGATTGGTTGGGAGCCAGTGCTCGTACTTCCCTGAATGCTCCGTTTTTTATCTTTCCTTCACGTGTTTCTGGCTGCAAGGGTGCAGCAGATGAAATGTGTTGATGATGAAACCTCATTTATAATGTGGTTCTTGAGGGTTCTGGAAGGTCTGCATCTGCAAGTTTTTTGTTTACGTGATGCTTTTGAAGTTTGAGTAGTTTGTCAGTTAAAAGCCATCTCAAATTTTAAAAAAAACAAAAAAAAAAGGAGTTATTAGTATATTTACTCTAGCAAGTTGAAGATGTATTGTATTATATATTATATAAAATGAACCACAAAAATACCATCGTCTGAGTTTGAATCTGAAATAACAGCGTGTTTGTTTGTATGTACCAAAGATCGGGTTTCTTTGTGGGAACAGGGATTCTTGCCCTCATTGACAATCTTTCTACACTACTATCATGCATGTTTAGTTACTTGCAATAGTGGCTGGTAGAGCAGACGGTAAATGTGTAACACTAATCTGTATTTTGTGGTGTAGTCTGTTAAAAAGATACAGGCTAAATCAGATTCAACTTCAAATGGTAAATGATTTAGCCACATTTATTTTTACAATCTGCTTTTTAAAATGCAGTGGGATCAGTTAGGCTGAAAATAAGTAAGTTATTGTTCAGAGTCATTAGAGCTTTCAGCATGGTCAGCCCAGTAGGTCAGAGTTTAACTCGTCCATGGTGTGGCTTCAGTGGTTCAGCAGGTAAACTTGCTCCACTTTGAATGTAATTTATTACCTTGAAATTCCTACAACCCTTTAAACAAAGTTGACCATTGTGACACTCATTTTTGAATTAGTCCTCTCAACTAACTGTTGGCTTTTCAGCTAATGTAGTTGGAGGAAAACAACAATCAGGTTGACATTAAAGAAGTCTCTTTGCTGTGTGAACTATCTCTGTCCACCTTACTTGGAACTTGCTGACTAATTCCGACAGATTGCCTCATCACTAGTGCAAGGAAACCGTTTTTTTTTTTGTGAGAAACTGTTTTTCCTTTGTAATTCAAAGTACCCACTTCCATGTCCACTTTTTGCAACTCTCCGACTCATTCTGAGGTATTCGGTCCCAACTGCAGTCTAAATGTATGTGTAGAAAACAATGCCTTTCTTTTAGATGTGGTTATGTTTATGGTAGAAAAACCACAACAGGGGATTGAAAAAAATATCACATTAAAGGCTGCAAAAACATCGATTAACGGGTGGATTTTTGAAGTCTTTAAAATGTGAGAAAATAGTGTGAAATTCCCATGATCACATCGTTCAACTTACATTTATGTAAACAAAGAGGTTTGCAATTAAGAAGCACAAGTTAATGCTTTACATTTTTGCTTGATAAAATTGATAAATGCCATCAGATAATAGTTTCAGCACTAATTTCACTCTGATCAACAGTATAGTCTCTGTGTTGTGATTGACCATCCTCAGCTATGATAGCTGGTTGAAGAGAGGTTAAAGGAGACACACACAAGAGTTTTGAAATCAAAGCAGATTGTAAAACTCCACAATCATTTTACACTAAACTTTCACTCTTTTCAAACGCTCGTCCTGCTCTGTGAAAGGTGTCTTTGTTGTTTTTCCACAACTAGATCTTTGGAGAGAGAATACAATGGCCGGCTGTTACCAGATGGTTCTATTTCTTACGACCATGACTCGTTTCTCTGTCTCCTGAATCAGCCGCTTTGGCAGATAGGCCACACCCACTTCAAAGAATCTGTTTGTGCAGCCCCATAATGCTGTTGGGTACATTTAAGATGTGTTGCTGATGGGGGGGGGAGGTCACTGCACAAGTTGTGGTTATCTTCATTGTTGGAAAGAGAAAACACATTCTCTGTATTCTTCAGGTTAGTGAGGCAGAGATTATTATCTTCACATAACTAAACAGGTTTTTTTGGAACAGTGGCACCTTACGGCCTCTCCTCTGTTGGCGTCTATGTCCTCCTCTGAGCAGGTGAAACAGTAGACGAGGTCTCTTTATTCAGAGCTAGAGTGGATACGCTGTGCTTCATTCCTCATGTATTCCTGTAATTATTTCACACAACTACAAAGAATTTGCCCTGGCAAGATTTAATACGTTTGGGTGTGATGGAATATGTTTTTTTCTTAACGTTTCAGTACTTTGTTGGAGTGGATAAGAGCAAAGGAAATGGACCCTTTTTAGTTTTCAGTCCCTCCCCAATGCGAGCACAAGACAGAGGAAGACATGTGATCCCCACACCGGGGACGGCTGTGCATTCTCACAGCCAAGTCGCTGGCATGGCACGTAAATGTTGCTGAAACAGACAACAAATTATGTTCTGGTTACGCTTTGTGTTGAGTGTTTGTAATGAGCTAAAGTGAGGTCATGCAATAAAACCAGTGTTGTCCCTTAATGCTGAAGAAATAAGGGAGCATGAGCATCAAGTTTGCCGGTTTGAATCCCAGATGAGGTTAAAAAAAATCAAGACTGTCAAAATAAACGCCAGTGGACCCGCCTGAAGAATCTTCCCTCTGTAAATACAGCTTTAAAGATTATAATCTTCAGCGTGCCCATTTAAGTTTTCGCAAACCAAAACAAAGCTTGGTAGTTGATTTACTCTTCACTATGGAAACCTCCCCTCTTGCCCTGTTTGGACTGTGACTTGCTTAAATACATAGACATACACAGACACACTTGATTTAAAAAAAAGTTAGGAAACCAAAGGTTCTCGTCCACTAGCCCAGTGGCTTTTAAATCCTGAAGTAAACGATGAGTCATCACGAGAAATAAATTGTGATGTACAGATGTATAAAATTGTTATGATTATGTATTCATAGTGTCATACTTTGAATATTGAGGCAGTGTACAGATTGTTACTTAACTAAACTATGACCAATGGTCAATTTTAAGTGACTGGGTTCTCCGTAGCACCGATTTGTTCCATCAATTCCATTGTAATTGGAGCAATTTGGTGCCGTTTCATAATAAGAAAGTGTGTCCAATCGAGAACAGTCTCTCCAGCTGTCTGGTTCATTATGAAAGGTCAGAGCACCCTAGCAGGCCCAACTGATTCTGCTACCTCCCTAACATGCCCTTCCATTGAGACAGCACGCACAATACCAAAACCCTGGCCCGTCTAAATGGAACGGAACCATAATTAATGTTATTAATTACACCTGTGTTTTCCCTGCAGTTACATTTGAAAATGTCACTGTCACACATTCAGTGAAACGGTGTCATGGCTCAGCAGTGGCCGGCACGTTAGAGAAGTGAGCTTGTGACAGAGAGGTTGCTTGTGTTGTCTTGTCCTTGAGCAAGGCACTTAAGCGCCAACTTACTCCACTGTGGCTGCTCAATGGCCAACAGATAAGCGTGAGGTTATACTTGGCGGCTTCCATGTTTCACTGTTTATGAGCGTGTGAATCGGAGTGTTGCTGGAGGATTTAGTGCTCTCTGCAGTCATAAGGTACATCTAAATGATCCAGCACCCTGTGGTATCATGCCGGTGTTATCGCCACTTGCATCTGATTTTTTTTTTTTTTTTTTTTTTTTTTTTTTTTTTTAAATCATCACTCAACCCCTTACAACTGACTCATGTGACATAACTTAAGGTGCAATAATGGGCCATTAACTGAACACTCAAGCACAGTTAAAAATCAGCTAATGGATATGTTCCCTTTTATTTTTGGTGCCTTTGTGTTTATTAACTGCCCTTCATGATGTCACAGAGCAGTGACATAAAATACCAAACATTCACATGAAGTGAACTCACACACATTAGAGTACACCAATTATACCGGAACAAATCAGAAGAGTTACATTGCTCATTTTAAGGGCTGAGGGGTGCGTGTACTATTCATGTAGATGTAATTAAGAGTATTGACTTCCTGGCTGCCCTCTGTTTTGTTTTTCTCAGGTGGATTTGCCTTTGTGTATGAAGCCCAGGACATGAGCAGTGGTAAAGACTATGCCCTCAAGGTAAGATGGAGATTTTTGTCTTATTAAAAGATTTCCTGATCACAGAACAACAACAAACTAGGGATGCACCGACTTTTTCAGCCCCGATAGCTGGTCTTAAGATATTGGTACTTGTACTGATACCAGTGTTTAGTTAATAAGCTGTATGCTTTACAGTCCTTTATGTATCAGGCTTGACTTAAACATTGCCTGCTTTCCTAACTTCACTGAACTTAATACATGGATGTACATTTACTTCATTGTTTTCTGTTATTAGAATAAGAAGTCGTACACCAGCAACTTGGTAAAACATCTTCAAAATGAACAGGAATTACAATCGAAGTTTAAACCCTTTAAATGCAGAAACAAATTAAAACTTGAATATGAATTAACTTTCCAGTATATAATGTATAAACTCGTATAATTCAACTGAACAGATCGGCCCCATTGTCACTGGCCTGATATATTTGTATCGGTGCATTCCTCCAAAAAAACAATGGTCTGTGTGTGTGTGTGTGTGTGTGTGTGCTTTTGTTTCAGAGGCTGCTGTCCAACGAGGAAGAGAAGAACAAGGAAATCATACAGGAAGTCTGCTTCATGGTATCCTTTATCATTTCCAGACCACGGTGAAAAGACACTGGTGTTTTTCTTATGATGTCTTTCTGTTTTGACACATAGCAGAGAGCAACATGTGACAGAGGCGAGTTAATCTGTAACTTCTCACTTCACAAGAGTGCAAAGCATCTCCAGCGTTGCATACTGTCATTACTAGATCGCTTGTAGTTTACTGGCAACACCACACAATGTCAGAATGCGCAACACAGGAACTAATATTTACAGTGTTAAACCTTATAATAACAGTGTGGTTTCATGAACACAGACTGCCATGTAGTGTTGGATTCTGTGCTTAAAAGCTCGCCATGTGTTCATTGTTTGAGAGGAAGTGATAAACAGGACATAAGGAAAAATTCTGTGGTTTCCAGGTTTAAAGATACCTTTTTGCAACTAAATGTCAAACCACTAAAGCATCCACTTTCTGTCAATGTCTCTGGAGGGGATTTATTTGATGGAGTTACAGTTTTTTAATCAATGAGATCACTCAGTCAGTGAAGGGAACTAAAAAAAACCTTTTGGCCAGCACAGCAGCTAAAAGGCTGGGACGTCTCTTGTGCTGTTGCACAATAGCTGTTTTCTGCTGTGTAGCACATTGTGAAGGCGCAGGCCTTTTGGTAAACGAAGCACTATGTTCCCTGTACCATTGCAACATTTTGTGTTTTTAGGACATAATTATTTGCATAATGTTTAATGTCGCCGATGCTGATGAGGCAGAAAAAGAGAGGTCGAAAGTCACCAACCATAATCTCCTCCTTGTTTTCACTGGTTGACCAGCGACCTACAGTGCTGTTTTAGAAAACAACAGCTCCTTTGAGGCTTGGCTGTGCATCAAAGTGGATGGCAGAGTAGGTCAATTTAAATTGTTGGAGATATCAACGGCCATGATGACAGATTAAACCGTTTAATTAGACACTTTGATCTTTATCTTACACAACAGCATCCAAAGTGGATGGTAGATTTTGGACTGGCCTGAAGCCAGGCTTGATATCACAGTAGTGTTCTGTTCCTTGACCTGCTTGTTCTATAGAAAAAGCTGTCGGGTCACCCCAACATGGTTCAGTTCTGCTCTGCTGCCTCCATCAGTAAGGAAGAGTCCGACACCGGACAGGCCGAGTTCTTGATCCTCACCGAGTTGTGTAAAGGTAACTTCATATTCATTTTTCCTCACTACTAGTACTAATTCACACATCAAACCAGGTCCAGGACCTGTTGGCTCCATTCCCTAGTAACTCTGAAAAGGCGTGATGAAACGGTTTCCTGTCTGCGGCCTTTCTACTTCCTGTTTTACTTCCTTTCTAATCAGTCTGACTGTTCGTTTACAACAGACTGTGTTGTCATTCATATATTCCAGCTTTGTAAGCAACCTTACTTACCCATGAAAAAGGTTTTAACACTATCCATTCATTTATTGGATGTGTGTGAAGCATCTTTTCTCTATTTGATTAACTTTTTTAATGCATGATACAACACTTTTATCCACAGTGTCCCATATATTTTAACTAACTTACAATCGACCGACAAAGGAAGAAAGGCTTCTGTGTTGTGACAGGTGTTGCTTTCCCCCTTTGTCTGGTGGCTTTTTCATTCAGTCATCTGTTTTGTATCTCTTGTGCCTCAGGTCAGCTGGTGGACTTCATAAAGCGGGTAGAGCAGAGGGCTCTCCTGTCATGTGACACCGTGCTGAAAATCTTCTACCAGTCGTGCCGCGCCGTGCAGCACATGCACAAACAGAAGCCTCCGATCATACACAGGGACCTCAAGGTTCGTTGTTCCTTCCTAGTCGGATGAATGAAGGATGTCTCAAATGATGAGGTATCCATAACATGCAACACAGATGAATTAAATACAACGACTCAGTTTGACAACAGTTTGTATCGAGGGAAACGGATTTTATGCTGAATTTACTATAATTGGGGGCTATTAGCGGCTAAATTCGGGGCTATTGTGATTCCTAATTGGTAATTACATGTGTATTGATTAACATGCAAGCCCTCTGCTTACTTTATCTATTGCAGATTGAGAACCTCTTGATTAGTAACCAGGGCACCATCAAGCTGTGTGACTTTGGCAGCTCCACCACAGTGTCACATTACCCCGACTACAGCTGGTCGGCACAGAAGAGGTCCATGGTGGAGGATGAGGTACGCACGCGCACACTCGAACATCAGCTACGGTTCATCTCAACAGGGCACTTCTTATCCAAAAGAGTCTTGTTCTTTCGTATGATATCGAAATAATCTTTAGTACAGTTTTTACATACATCGACCAAACATATTTCTGAAGTTGTTTTGAACTACATTATCACAAAAACTGATTCATTATTTACATTGGATCAGTGACAACACTGACAGAAACCAGAAACGTTTGATTGAATTAACAGCTCGACGTTCAGGAAGCACCGATCAATCAGGTTAATTATATTTATACCATAACCACACACACACACAGGAGCTTTGCCTCAGATGACCTCAGTATGCAGGACCCCGGAGATCTTGGTTTCTAAATGAAATAATCTGCGTGTCTATCCGGCACCTGTTTTCAGGCTAGTGGCACAATCTTTGGTTTAGATTTGAACAATTTGTTTGTAGAAAGCATGCTTAGCTGTCTGTGTGGGAACACATGACGGTGTGTCTTTTTCATAAAAAAAATAATCAGATGAAGGTTTTTCCCAAAGCATTTTCTTGATTTTACAGATTTTTCTCAGACAAAAAAGTGATGCCTGAGATAGAAGCTAGATTTACCAAGATGTGAGCATAGCTGGATACTTGGCTCTGGTTCTATCTCCTGAAAGACTCCACAGTGGTCCAACAGCTGTGTTTAGTATGGTTGTTGTTTTTTCTGTGTAGATCACGAGGAACACCACTCCTGCGTACCGAACGCCAGAGATGATCGATCTCTACTCCAACTTCCCCATCAATGACAAACAGGACATCTGGGTCAGAGCTTGTACCTTTTTTTTATTTTGTGTCGCCCAATGTCACAGCTAACCCAAGACGATCAAAGATCAAAACATACCGTTTTCTGTTTGGTTGAAAAAACAGCTCAACGCTAACTTATTTTGTCGGGACATTTACGGACATTCATTCATAATGGTGGTTTGAGAGTTTGTTTTTGTCTGTATCGTTTCCATGCAGGCCCTGGGATGCATCCTCTACCTGTTGTGTTTTAAGCAGCACCCATTCGAGGAGGGGGCCAAGCTGCAAATCGTCAACGGAAAATACTCCATCCCTCAGAACGATGTCAAGTACACTGTGTATCACAACCTCATACGTATGTACTTTCAGTCTGTGTCTTCTAGTTTCCGCCTGCCTGTCCCTTTTTATTCTTCCATCCCTCTATTTCTCTCTGCTCGTCTTGCCCACAAGTCACAGTTTGGGATTGCACCGTTAAACGTAACGTTCATATAGACGCAGTAGAGAGAAATGCCATGTCAAGTTGAATATTGGCAGCACCACCAGTAACTTGTTACGGCTAATCCAAGTAGACTAAACAGCTCCACCTGGTGGAAAAGGTAAATATGTATATTTCCTGCAAACAGTGGCACAAAAGTAGTAAGTCTTTACAATTTTCATTATTCACATTGGTTGCTGTGTGTGATTAATGACATTTAAAAAATAATAATTAGTCATATACCTCCTTGATCTCAATATATTTAAGTAAACTAAACTGTGGTCTTGTTCATGAATTGCTTCCTTTATGCATCTACATGTTATTGTCATCCTCATTAACTGTCTCCTCAGATTTTTAACATTTCCTTCTTTTTCCACTGAACCCTTCTCCTCCTCTTCCTCCTCTTCCTCTTCCTCCTCTTCCTCTTCCTTCTGTCCAGGTTCCATGTTGAAGGTGAACCCAGAGGAGCGTCTGTCCATTACAGAGTTGGTCAACCAGCTCCAGGAGATAGCAGCAGCACGCAACGTCAACCCCAAGTCCCCCATTACCGAGGTAGGTGTGCTCATGATTGTGTCCGGTGCTGTTGCGGCGCACTAGATTCAAGAAGTGATACTACAGTAAAATCTCAAGTTGTTATCCTATTACTAGCACATTGGTCATTGGTTTCTCGATTGAGGTTAAAGCCAACAGAGAGCAGATTTTCAGAAATGATCGCCACTGAAATGGAGCAAAGTTGTGGCAGTGGCTGCTGAATTAGTCTGTTCTCCCAGCCAGGAGACGAGGGAGAATGCATTTGAAGGTGCTATCCTAATCTCCAACTGTCTATTAGTGGCTTCAGCATCAGGTATCAGTCTTGAGGAGGTGACAACTTTCACCAAGTGCATTTCAGAGTAAACAAGTTGATTGGCTGAGACACAATCTCAGCTTGTGAAGAGGCTATTGACAGGCCGAACCACACGGGTTCTTCCGCAGTGTGTGTGTGCGCACATGCATGCACACTCATGCACTCTGAAATTGCTGTTGCGGCTGCACTTGCTCAGTCTCGCATGCGACCAACGCGCGCACACGGTGGCGGGCTCAAAGGAGTCTGTATTCTCTTTCCCAGGCTCCTCTCTTCCCAGCTGGCATGGCCCAACGAGACGGAGAGACATAGAGGCGGAAAATCGGTGTAACTGAAATTAGAAAGAAGCTTAAATTCATGCCAATATAGCAGTATTTTGGGTGGCAGAGTGACTGTAAAGGCAAAAAGTTTTATTTTTTTCATCTAACACCCTCAGTAGCTAATTCAGCATAATCAGATTTAAGATTACAGCCAAGGTCATCACAGACTAAGCAGCCACAGCCTCTAATGATTCCTAAACACAAAATCCTGGTACTTAACGCAAAATCCGTAGCCACAGTTGTGATTTAACAGTATTAAAAGCTGATTTCGGTGTCAAAAAAGCTCCAGGTTTACGGTGATTCTCCTATCTTCCAACAGCTTTCTGGTGTGTAGTGTACACATGACTGACTATATAGCTGAGCAAGTGTATGCTACAGTAAAACTATGAATACTTATAGTACTTGGTATTCTTTTCTCTCTTTTCTGGAAATCATACACACATTTGTTCAAACTGAGTTCTTCTGTATCCCAACTCATTTCTTACCAAACTGAGTCCTGATGAGGTTGGTAAACGTGTGCAGAGTGAAGGCAGATTTGGCGATCGCTGATCTGATTAGGGTTAAGAAGTGGTTTCCCTGCCGGACATAAGGAGATTATCATCCTCTACCTTCTTCTCCTCCTCCTCCTCCTCTGCTGCTTCTCAGCACAGACATATGGAGAGGCAGACTGTAAGATGGAGCAGAGAGGAGGGAGAGCAGAAACCATGTGAAGGAAGGGAGCAGACATGGAAGTGAAATATTGAGAGGGAAATACGGAAGACTTCTGAGGGGAAGCGAGACGCAGAGTCCGTCTGGCTGCTTTAACGCAGTCCCGTTCACATCTATTTCTGTTCTTTGCTGGAATGTAATTTTGTATTTTTGGTATTTTATCCCATTTTTTTTAAGATGGCAATTTTTTGCATTTCTAAGGAAGATTTGTCTTGAACATCTTCGAGTGCTGGCTGTTTCTTTTGGTCAACGTAGTCTTCATTGTGTTGACTTACCTGTTGTTGACTTACCTGCTACAATGTTGAGCGCGTACCACTGTTGGCGCCCCGTGTATGACGGCTATGAATGTCTGCAGCTGCTGGAGCAGAACGGAGGTTTTGGCAACAACGGAGCCCAGCCGCCCATGCAGATCCACAACGTCCAGAACAATTCAGGTACAGGATTGTTTGGATGACAATATCATGCTCTCTTTGGATTTGGGACGGTGTTTGTTTCGAGTGTTCATTGTTTCGTGTGTTCACACTTAAGGTGGGGAGAGTGAAGTTAAAACCTCTATGAAACAGAGCAGTGGTGTTATATCGGTGTTTCTAAAAGTGAAATTCAGCAACTCATTGATTTGCTGTATAAACCTATAAATCCATAAGGACCCTTTGGCATATCCACATGCTGCAATCTAACAAACTGGCAAAAATAACTACATTTTATTACTTAGGAACAGCCATGCAGCTGGTTTTTAAATTGTTCTTCTGAGGTGTGGCTGAGGAAAACACTTCATTTCACTAAACTGCTCTTTGTTTTGTTTTTTATAACCCCAAATTTCTAATCGGGCTGGAAAACATTTTAACACGCACATATCCACACACCCCAGACATCCCCCGTATCTCATGAGTGTTAGACGTGGTAATAAGTAATCAGGTTAGTTCACCTATAACAACCCAAACCAAAGAAGCTCCTCCTCCTTAGACCAAGGGGGATCAAGACCAGCAGTCAGTAGGTCATGATCCTCATACGTGTTCCAAATTGTGGTGACTGTTGGTGATTTCCAACCCTACAGTATGTCTCAAGCAGATTAAAGCAAAGTATGCAAGCTCTGTAAATTGATAATTCTTCTGTTATTCGGATATCTGAATAAAAATTAAGAGCACACGCTGAAGGTAACTGGTGAGAAAATAATAATATTTCTGTTCTTTTTAAATCTCTACTTCTATCTAAATGAGCATAATGGTATTTTCTACATACACAACCAACTCTACATACACACATGCAGGCTGCGTACTGTCACTGCACATTAAGAGGATTTCTGCATGGCCAGTCAACCATCTGTCTAAGGGCAGAATATGTTTGCTCTCTCCCTTGAGGAGTAACTCCAGTCCTCCTGTCCATCCACACTATCAGATCTGGCCAATACATAATGTTGAGTCATCTGCCTGTTGTTGTATCTCAACATCTGGCAGCTCCACCACAGCTGAAAGCAAAAGATTGAATCCCATCCATTGACCTCAAAGTTAAAGAGAGGATTTGTTGAACCACTTCTTAATGCCATTAAGTGTCTGTATGTGAGTGATTGTGTTTATCATGAGTGTGGGAATGTGCCTATATACCCACATCTAAAATCATAGAATATGCATTTTACTTTTTAATAACTTCTTTTTGGTTATGCTTTTCTAATCAGTCATTTATTGTAGCTTCATAAACAGATGTTTTCAGGTCTATTCATGAGATGGTAAATAAAAAATACAAATATACACATTTTGCCCACTGTTTCATGCAAAGATCGCATGAATGTTTTTGATGTCATTGTTGGTTATTAAACTTTGATCCTGATTTCCTAATGTCAGTGTTCTGACAACGTCTGGACATCTATAATTTCAGCATTCTCTCTCTTCCCCCACGATGCCTTTAGGCATATACGATCCTGATCAGTCGGGCAGCGGGATCTTGGACATCTTAAGGGGAGGAACGGAGCGCTTCCTGACCAACATAAAGGACACTTCCTCTAAGGTCATCCAGTCAGTAGCCAGGTAAGGTGCTCCAACCTTGTTGTCGTGATTATCATTGTTGTATTTTTCCGTTTGCGGTCTTAATCTTTCATTTAATCTTTATCATCATTACAGATCAGTTGGCACTCACTGTGGGTTGTTTTTTTTCACATAACCTCACATGTGTTGCTGAATTGATCTCATGGTTCACATTGTGTTTATGTTACATTCGGAGTTGACCGAACACTCGGTTAAACTTTTCACATTTTACTCTGGCTACTTTAACTTCACATACGTATATTTGTTACTTATTTAACCCCAAAAAAATCCCACCACCGCGTATTTAAAATATGCACTCATGGTCTGGAATTATTATATCGACATCCACCAAATGGCATAACATTTTTCTAAACATTACTGTTGGCCAATTATCAGTCATTACGTTGCATCACAGTTGCATTAACCTGAAGTAAATGTAGATGATTGTACACCTGCAAATTGTCTACGTAAGCAATCATACTCATACCTACCCTGCCCCCAGATTTACCTTTTCAAAAGGAACATTTTGCTTCTTAGCTGTCTTTGACCAACCACTGGCATACGAGTAAGTCAGTGAAATGTGGGAATAATCTAGGTACACTTCATCATCATCATCATTGAGAATGATTGTTGATGTTAGAGACGGGACACCTCTAGTGACCGATATGTATAAAAGAGTTGAGAATAAGCAAAGTGTTCCTTTAACAGCCTCTCTATCCATATCCTTTAAAGTTTGATGTTTCATTTGGCTATTCTATCATCGGTTTGTTCCATTTGTTTGGTCGTTTTGTTTATTTTTTTTTGTTGTTTCTTTTCTCTGTCCCAATCCCTCATGGTCCCACTATGTGTCCATCACCTAGCAACCCGAGGTAAATATGGGTCGGTGAACTGCGTCAACTTTGTGCGTCGCTCTGTGTGCTCCTGTAGTCTGTGTTTGATTTAGAGGAAGAGAAACCCTACTAAGCCTTTTTTGCTGTGCCGTGTCCGCCATCACAGCTTGCTGATCCTAACATTACACATTCAGTAATTCAGTTGAATGAATGCAGAGCGGGATGTGAATGGGACAGTTGAGTATCATTTTAAGAGTGAATGATGGCTCCAGATGATTGGAAAGTGATATCGGTCAATGATGAAGCAAGTTAAACATATTCTCTATCCATGGTACAGGAAATGAATGGGCCCGTCGGCAACATGGTGCACATTAAAGAGCTGGTTTTGGTGTAGCAATGATGACCCTTGTTTGAAAGGTGCATTATACCGAACTGCTTGAGACAATTCTTTATGAAGTTAAATAGCAGAAAGCAGTGCAAATGCAACATCCCTCAAAGTGTTGTGGTCTGTTAAAAAGCTTATTTTAGTAGCCCTTGTCATATCGATCAGATAATTTGTAACGACAAAAGTGTTTTTGCCACTTTTAGCTGTTTGAAGCAGACAGCATCATCCATAGCCTAATTTGATGGTTCCCAACCTTTTTGGATATAAGATGTAACCCCGTGCCCTGTCAGGTAAACTCAAGCACATCCTCGATACCTCCATTCCATTACTGTAAGCTAACTATTTTCAACTGTTCATACATTTCTTTGAGCCATGTCAAATTCAACATTAATCTGTTACTTTAAGCTAACTGCACTACCTGTTTTAACCATGTATCCAATCATTTGAGCTAACAATTTGAATCCTAGTTGTAGGTATCTATTTTAACCATTTCTTCACGTCTCTGATCGCTTTCTAACTTTTCATGCATTGGCACCACATGACTGTCGGATGTTAAAGTTTAAACACCTGAACGTTGTGTTATTTGTTCATCATTTTTTTTGTACCTCCAAGCAACTCCAGATGTGTCTCTGGTTGAGAATCACGTTCCTATATGAATGACTGAATGAATGATTGAGTGGTAGTTCAATTCAATATGACTCCACTGCTAACTAAATCACCATTTTCCGCTATATGTGTCTAAACCAGCATCGCCTGTCTGTCCTGACACCATACAGATAAAATGTGTCATCAGCATAGATAGATTAATCTCATTGCTTGGCCTACAGGTTGTTTGTGTGTACTCAATTTTAATAGTTATTGGGAATCATTTTGTGTTGTTTTTGCTATTGTCATCGCTCCAATATGATTAATTTTGCTGTTAAATCCAATGTCGCCTACTTTCCACATCAATTAACTGCCAATAATATTTACCACCAAAGAGCTATTGGCAGTAATGATCCTCCTAGATGTATTCCCATGCAACAGCAAGCATCTGCTAGATGCATGTGCTACATTTAAAAACTGAGAAAACGAAAACTTAAAACTTTCTTAAGTCAAATTTGCATGATTGTGGGACAGCCTTCATTAAAACAGGTTGAAAATCTGTGTGGTAGCCCTGGCAGAGTTTCCCCATTCAGGCGTCGGTTAGTAACATCTCCATCCTGCAACAGAGTCAGTACATCATAAATAATACAAAGCTTTCTTGTTTCCGAACCAGTTTGCGTTATCAAGCTTTGTTAATTGGCTATATTTGTGTCTCCCAGACATCGTCAAACTGTTTATTTCTTGTGGTGAATTGTGTTTTTCCTCCCTGTATCTACTCCTTTCATAAGTGCGCTTGTAATTTCCTCTTACAGCTACGCCAAAGGGGACCTAGATATTTCATACATCACCTCCAGAATAGCAGGTAGGCATAATACCCGTCATAAAACTTACTGACACATGTTTAACCCTCTCTTACTTCACAACGTGATTCCATTCAGACATGGCTTAAGTGACGTGCTGTGATATAATGTCTTAAATTAACATTTTCAGAAAGGGATAAACCTTTGATGTAATAGTTACACATGTTTCTCTGTATTTGTGTGTGTGTGTGTGTGCGTGTAGTCATGTCCTTCCCTGCAGAGGGGGTGGAGTCAGCGATAAAGAACAACATTGAAGACGTCCGTCTGTTCCTGGATTCACGTCACGCTGGCCACTATGCTGTCTACAACCTCTCCAAACGATCCTACAGGCCTTCTCGATTCCACAACAGGGTATGAAGTGTGTGTGAGTGCGAGTGCATGAGTGTTTGTGCAAGCACCTATATGGTGGGTAGATGCATATCCATGTGACATTACCAAACTCCCTTGGGTATGGCAGTCATTGCTGTGAGTGGATTGTTTGTTTACTATGATACATGGGTTTATTATTGCCACAGTAATTGCTTTTGTTAAAGTAGGGTTATCCTTTCACTTGTGTGCAGCTGAACAAGGTTCCTGTTGTATTCAGGGGTGTGTCATTGTGTGTCTGTGTTTGTAGGTTTCAGAGTGTAACTGGCAAGTGCGCCGTGCCCCCAACCTCCGCAGTCTCTACAGTGTGTGTAAGAACATGCATCTATGGCTCAAACAAGACCAGAGGAACATCTGTATAGTACACTGTCTGGTAAGTAGGACTTAGGCCTTCATGTATGCTCAGATGAGGAGAGGTCATGACTCAAGTAGATGATGAGGATAAAAATAAGGAGGACGACACATGCAATATCCTTAACTGTTACCTCCATCTTTTCGTCTCTGTAGGACGGCAGGGCAGCGTCGGCGGTGGCAGTTTGCTCCTTCCTGTGTTTCTGTCGCCTTTTCACCACAGCTGAGGCCGCTGTCTACATGTTCTCAATGAAACGCTGCCCGCCTGGCATCGCACCCTCACACAAGAGGTAGAATCACGGAAGAGATCCTCAACAACCCCAAAACTTCAATGGTTACCAAAAAACAAAGCTGAGAATACAGGAGCCTGATCTTGCTTTTGATCGTTGCAGGTATATAGAGTATATGTGCGACATGATGGCAGAGGAGCCCATCGTCCCCCACAGCAAGCCCATAATGATTCACTCCATCGCCATGACCCCCGTGCCGCTGTTCAACAAGCAGCGCAGTGGGTGCAGGCCGTTCTGCGAGGTTTATGTTGGAGACGAGCGAGTCCTCACCACATCACAGGAGTACGACAAGATGAAGTACGTTTATGTATGCTCAAGAATGAAGTTCAGGTTTCCCTCAATAGAAGAAGTAAAAACAATGTTCCTGTTCATCATCGTCTCTCTCACTCTTTTGCTCCGTCCAGGGATTTCAAGCTGGAGGACGGAAGAGCGGAGATTCCCCTCAATGTGACGGTCCAAGGAGACGTACTGGTGGTGATCTACCACGCAAGATCTACACTGGGAGGACGTCTACAGGCCAAGGTACACACACATCAACACGCATCAACTGTCGGCACATTCTTTAGAAATAGAAGCTTATTTTAAACTCTATGTTGTGTTCCAGATGGCATCCATGAAGATGTTTCAGATCCAGTTCCACACAGGCTTTGTCCCCAGAAATGCGACCACGGTCAAGTTTGCCAAGTATGTACACCATTTTTCGAAATGCAATGCTTTTAACTGAACAAGATCATTGTCAAAGCTTTAAATTTCTTATCGCCTGTACAATAATATCAACTACATCAGATTTCTTTATTTTCTAATTAACTCTTGAAATGTACTCTCTCCATAAGTTCTTGTTTCCAATCTATCTGATCTCCTGCCAGGTATGACTTGGATGCCTGTGACATCCAGGAGAAGTACCCAGACTTGTTCCAGGTCAACTTGGACATCGAGGTGGAACCCAGAGACAGACCCAGCACCAAGACCCCGCCTTGGGAGGGCTTTCAAACCAAGGGCCTCAACCCCAAAATCCTTTTCTCCTCTCGTGATGAGCAGCAGGAGATCCTCAGCAAATTTGGTAGGTGACATTGCTTTATAGAAGCCCGGCTCTGGTGTTAGGAGTGTTACGCTTCTCAGTTCACTTATATATCGGACATCTTTCTTCTTTTCTGCCTTCAAGCCCACTGGATGTGTGTTTTTCTTTTTTTTCTAATTCACATATAAACTAAACTTAGAACCTTAATCACTACAGGTAAGCCCGAGCTGCCTCGTCAGCCAGGTTCCTCCGCTTTTTACGACTCTGAGTCACCCCAGCCGGCTCAGACCCCAGAAGGCTCCAATGCAACAGAAACAGAATCTCCTGTGAGCACTGATGGCAACGCCAACAACTTTTTCCAGACCCTGGATTGGGAAGGTACTCGTGAAAATCATCTTGATTTTGCCCCGTTACAGCCTTAGTGTTCTAGTTGTTGTCCTCTATTTTAAAGAAGGGGACAGTGCTACTCATTTAGTTCACTGCATTCATTTTCCTAGAGCCTTAAAAGTTCCACTGACCATCTTCTTGCATTTGTAGATGTGAGTGGCCCTCAGGATGCGACAGACAGTCAAGGAGGGGGATCCATGAATGACCAGGAGGACCTAAGTGATCAATCAGAAGGAGAGTCCTACTCTTATTCTGCCCCCGGTGGGGAGCCGCTGTCACGTGACCCCAGCGAACCACTGTTTGATGCTGACTTCCAGGTGGGGATAATCTTGGATGGCTGATTATATAAACACATTATAACTTCCTTTATAATGCGCCCTGAGTTTTATGACGTAGGAATTACTTTATTCATTTTTGGTGTCCCTTTTCTCCCCCTCAGAGCTCCCCTCCTGCAGCCCAGGAGTCGCCTATCGGGGACACAGCTGACCTCCTGGGGTTAAACTCGGACCCTTCCATGTCCTCAACCTCCTCCTCTGCTCCTCATCAAGTAGTCCAGGGAGGACTGAAAGCTGCATCCAGCAACAGCGACCTCCTCAACGACCTGTTTGCCCCCCCTGCTGGTGAGGCAGGAGCAGTGCAGGAAGACTTGTTCTTCAGTGAGCCAGCCACTGGGGCCACACCAGACTCAAAACGTAAGCGCAAAGGCTCAATACATGCTGACTGCATTGTTGCAAAAAAAATACTTTCCAGTTATCCATAATGCATAATTCTCCCTCTATCTGCAGCCATGGGCGACCTGTTTGATCCGTTTGGGATGGGGTCTGGCTCCGGCGTTGGTGCCACTGTGGGTTCATCTCGGCAGGCCCCTGGACCGGACCTGTTTGGAGACCTGTTGAGTTCTGAAGGTTCAGCTCACAGTGACCCTACTCCTGCTCCAAACAAAAGCCTTTTCAACCTCAGTAAGTACATCAGCTGTTGTGACACCACTCCGCGTTATGTCTCGGTCTGCTTTGAGGAGGTATGAGTGATAACACACACCTTACTCCAACTCAGCAGCAACAAACCTACAGCACCATCGAGTCATCTCAGATTTGTTGGACAAACCGTTTTCCTCTTTTCAATAAACACTTAATTTAGGTGTCACATTCCACTTCCTATGGAAACATGCAAACCAAACGTACTTGGTGATACTCTGGATGTTTTTGTCCTAACAGATAAAGTAGTGAAGGATGCCCCTAAGATGACATCATCAGCCAGCCAACCAGACCTGCTGGGTGGGTGGGAGAGCTGGGCAGCTGGCACCACCGCTGGCATGAGCGCCACCACCAGCAAACCCAGCTACACCAACACAGGTGAGTGAAGGAACTGAAATGTAGGGGTTTGTGGCTGACTCAAAATATGAGTGGTCAGTTTTGTACTCGCATATTTTTTTTTACTGTGTCTGTAGCTTCTGGCGTTGCGTCTATGTCGAAGGCCAAGTCTCAGACCTTTGATCCTTTTGCCGACCTGGGAAACCTGGGTTCCAGTTTACCAGGTAAGAGGCCTGGTCCCATATCCAACCACCTGTTGTGGCGAAACAAATAGAAACATATAAACTGATGAACTCGTAAATCTATAAATGAATCTCAAGTTAACCATCCTCCATGTTTTTGCAGGTTCCTCCAGCAGTAATTTTTCGGAGCCTTCTTTTAGCGCAAAAGCTACATCCTCCTCTGCTAAACCTCAAGCCCAGCCCTGGCAGTCTGGAAGACCCGCCTCAGCCCAGAAAAAGCCTTGGATGTCCGGATCAGGACCTGGGACGGGACCTAAAGCATCATCTGCCTCTCAGTCTGCAGGCACGCAGGCCCTCAAACCCAACTACAACCTCAACTTCACCAGTGTCATCGGTGGGAGAGAGGACAGAGGAGTTCGTGGGCCTAGTTTCGGTAAGCGACATAGAGTCGAGGGGGAAGGATTTGTTTCAGGAGTTGGGATCATATCTATGTTTGATTTTCTAGTTATCACTGAAATACAACTTATAGAAATGAATAAATGTGATTAGTTTGTCATATTTATGTACAGTATTGTATTCTCTGTTCTGTATTTTGGTGCAAACTCTTCTTGGGAATTGAGCCAAAGTTCTCCATAAAGATTTAATTTCTGTGTGCCGTGTTGTGACGCAGGCGCCAAGCCGAAGGTAAAGGAGGACGATTTTGAGGACCTGCTGTCAACTCAGGGTTTTGCCTCTCGGCCTGATAGAAAGGGACCAAGGACCATCGCTGAAATGAGGAGACAGGAGATCACGAAAGACATTGATCCACTTAAATTACAGGTAACAAACCAAATGCATAATACAAAGGACATTTTACACGCTGAGAAACACATTCTTCAGTGGATGAAATATGAAAAGTGAAAGAGCAGTCCTTGCCTGTCTGGCATTACCACCACTGAGTCCCCTTATCCGTCTGTCCTGTCTCTCGCCAAAAGAGCTGATTAGATAGACCAACATGGCACCTTTTGGCCAGTGATACTCGGAGCTGACTGTAGCCTCCAAGTGCTGATCAGTGTTTGTGCCTTTTCTTCATGGTGAAAGTGGTAACGGTTTATTTCATTGTCGTGCTGCAGATCTTGGACTGGATTGAGGGGAAGGAGCGAAACATACGAGCGCTGCTGTCAACTCTAAACACTGTGCTGTGGGAAGGTGAGACCCGCTGGAGGCCTGTGGGCATGGCTGACTTGGTGACACCTGACCAGGTGAAGAAGTTCTACAGGAAGGCTGTGCTGATTGTCCACCCGGATAAGGTACAGTATAACAATTACAGTTATTGCAACCCTTCATCTTAACTGTCCTTTTATTATTTATTCATTGGCAAACTCTTCTATCTCTCTCTGCAGGCAACAGGCCAGCCTTATGAACATTACGCTAAGATGATCTTCATGGAATTGAACGACGCCTGGTCAGAGTTCGAGAACCAGGGTTCCAAAGCACTCTTCTAAAACCCTGGTCTGGATCCCAGCTAGACCAGACCAGACTGGACTGGACTGGATTCGGCCTAACCAAACAAGAGTTAGACTGAGCCAGATTGGACAGGACTGAGCCCACATTGGGCCTTAGGGGGCGCAGAGCCTCTGAGAGGTGTCCTCTCTACCATTCCCTTCACTCCCTTCTTTACTTTCTTCTGTTTCTACAGTCAAGGAAAAAGATCTTTTTGCCTCATGTCCGGCTGTAGGGAAAATGTCCTCACTGGTTCATAAACAGCCAGTAGAATAAACATTGTGATAGTTCTTTAACTCACTGCCTACCTGTACGTCTGCTTGAGTTGGTGATGCTGCAAACATCTGGAGGGAAGAATGGGTGACAATCACACGAAGAAGACAGAATGGAAAATAAATCGGATAACACAAGCTGATTATCTTAACAGTGGTATTCAGATAAGAAGATGTAATGACCCCACACTAATATAATGCTGGTAAATTTTGTCTGTGGCTGGTAAGTTTGTCATTTTGTGTCTGGCACTTTTGCAAACAACCAGTCATTTTGCTGACTGGAACATTGGCTGTACATTTTTCAGCATGCCAGACGATCTGGAAGTATTGTTTTTAAGCTTTGTTGCCTCGAAGAATAGTGAACGTTGCAGATGAATCGTAGAACAAACCAGCCACAGCAACCAATGGACAAAAAAAAATAAGAAATAAACTTCTACCCTGCCGCTAATGCAGAAGCAGGATTAAAATCTCAATGATTTTGAAGATGGATCTGTTGATGATACCCATTCATTCTTTGAAGTGCTACTGCTGCACCTTTTTGTGGTCAACAGTCGGTTGGGTTTGTTGTTGAGCCATTTCCTCATCGGAAAGACAAGACTATTGCCTGCTGAACACTACTAGTGCTGCTTCTACCGTTACAGTTCCTGCTACACACACACACACACACTCCTCAGATTGATGTTGAAACCTGCATCCCGAGCTTCTGACAAAGGAGCTGAACTTGTTTTGGAGCCCCATATAAACCTAAGTGGGCAGTCTGTTGTTTTTGAAGTGCTCTTTTAATTCCACCCACTCAGGCTATACTGTGTAGCTAACTGCATGCTGTCCCACACCAAACCTCTAAACAACAGGAAGTAGGTGTGTCTGATTTCAAACCAGGTTAGTCCGAACAGCCGGGGGGCTCTTTTATTGAAGTGCTCTTTTTTTTTCTTTTTTTTTTTTTTTTTTTCTTCCTTGTAGCAGAAGCAGAAAGAGTCCACCGGCCTGATTACGCCGGGTGGCAGCGCTCGCACTGCTCATTGCTTTTGAGCATCTCTGTCATCACTGTCATTAACCCCTTCCCTTTGTCTCTGTAAGCCCCGCCGTCCGCCAGCGCCTAGTTCAGTGGACTTTTTTTTTTTTTTTTTTTTGTCAGTGCATAGGAGGAGATCACAAAGTGACGGAATGAAAAGAGAATATGGTTGAATTAATCTGGTTGCTCTTAGTTTTACTCCAAGAGGTTTTTTTTGGGGGGTTCATTCTGAACTTTGAGCTTTTGTCAGTGAATCATCACTTCAGTGTAAATATACAATATTATCATCCATCAAGTGGCTTTGTTAAGATTACTGCCTGGGCAATTGATGTTCTCGAGCCTCATGCTTGACTGTGTGAATGTGTGTGTACGTGTGTTTCTTTGGGCGAAGATAATGAAACCTTGTTGGACATCATGCTTTCTTGTCTGCAATCACAATCTTTTCTTTCTTAATTTAATTCTTTTCAGACTCTTCCACACTTATAACTGATCTTTCCAACTTTTGCATTTCCCTTTATTTTGTATTTTACCTCATGGACCAATCAAATCACCTGTTTTCTTATTTATTATGGTTTTTGGGGGGAGTGTTGTGGGTTATGATGACATGTATTCATGCATATTGATGGCACAAGTGAAAATCTTCAGATAATATATAAGAGGAAAGTTTTGAGTGCAAGTTGTTGGTTGATCACAGTGAGCCTCTTTGTTGCTGTTTTCATTCCAAAGCATTTATTATTACGGATTTGCTTTTACACACATATATATATCCTCTCGGTTGTTAGGCGTTGTTCGTCTTTTCAATCTGTCTTTTTTTTTTCTTTTTCCTCTTGCTTCTGTTTTGCATTTTGTTAAAATTCCAACATGAGAGGCCAGTAAACCGAAGTAAGAAAAAAATAAACCGATGCTTGAAATCCTCTGACAGTATCATCGTATAAAGAGGGAGGATTGCAAAACCACACATCAGCAGTGTTTACTGCACCAAATTACATCATACTAATATGAATGTATTTCAATGAAAAAAACAAATGATTAAAAACCTTTTGATTTGAGGCAGATATTTTGGTGTCGTCTTTATTTTTCAAGGATTCAAATTGGCTTCACAGTCACATCTTTATTACCTACTGAGATAAATTAGACAAAGATTGTCTTAAGAATGTATTTAAAAAATAACTGAACTTTTTTTAGAGACTGAGCCAAGCGGAGGCTGCCAATTTTCGGAGGTGCAACTAACGATTACCATCAGCGGTGAAAAAAACATTAAAATGTACTTGATGGTAAAGAGTAATTTAGTAGCAAGCCCAGTTCATTGTCCACATCCCGTTCGTGATTTGACATTTCAACACAAGTATACCTGCCATTCATCACACCCGAAAACCAAGCTTGAAATAATATACCTAAATCTTATGCTACCTGTGCAAATTTTATTTTATCAATCATTTGTGATGGAAAACAGTATTGCAGTTGTTGCGTATCCAAACAATAGTCTTTTATAGAGTTGATGTTGCATTTTACATCTGTAAGTTTACGATTGCTGCATTTCATTTTGTGAGTGTGTGTGTGAAATAGTAAGTAAAATAAGTAGTCGACTCGTGCATCACATTGAGTTACAGCTTTATTTAAAAGTTGGACCAACATCAGTTTAATAGTAATCCTTTTCACCAGATCACATTACATTTCCCCTCCAGAGCACAGATTTTGAACACAAGACTGTAGCACATTATATGGTCTATACAAAATGAATTAAAAGTGTAGGAAAAAAAAGAAAAAAACCTTAGCTCATCCCCTCAGACTGCCACGTTCCAGTGGCCATAAAACCTAAAACTCTAGCATCACACTAATCTTAGCATTGGCACTTAGTTGAGGCAGAGAGGAGAACTGGGGGACAGAAATGGACCTAAATGGGGGCTATGTAGAGGTTTGTGGGAGTGTCTTTGAGGGTTAAAAGAGCCTTTAAAATGTAAAAAAAACAAGTAGTCCCTCCCACCATATGAACATAGGCCAAAGTACAACTATAGCCACATTCATGGACGCCACAGTTTTCACCTGCATTGAGTGTATGCAGTGTTGAAGCCGAAGTACTGGAGAGATGAACAGAAATATTAGGCGCTGCCATTTATCTTGTTTTTGGAATCTCCATCTCTCAAGGACGGCTGCTTCCACTCTTAATGCAAATTCACTGTAAGCGTTTTTGGGGAACAATACAGATTTAAAAAAAAAGTAGCCACAATGTGTTGGTTAACGTTACTGCACACTTGTGACAACAGCCCGTTCTGCTGCCTTGAATGCAGCGGGTTTTTGGCATCTGGTTTGGTGTTAAGACAGGAACCGGGGCCAGAAAGGCACTTCAAAGTGTGGATGTCCTTTTTAGATTTCCATGCTTAAGCCCTAAAAAATGAACAAGATCAGCTGTAAAGCTTTGAGTCCTCCAAATGGCTAAAGGGGAATCTGAAAGACACGAAGAAGACATAGGCCTGGTTATTGGCTGCTGGAAGTGGTTTGAACTGTATTTTTTAAAAAAAAGGGTTGGCAGAAGGTCAGAGAAAAACAAAAAGAAGAAATCAAATCAAATCTATGGGATAATGGACTGATTCAATATTGTGAGAAACTTACGAAGACAAAAAAGATCTTCTGAGTTGTATGATGTGAATCTAGCCCTCAATGGAGACCTCTGGAGCAATGTGTCCATTCAGCGACGCCTCCACTGACATCTCCTGAGCAGAAAAACAGACATTAGATGAAGTTAGTGCGCTGGGAATTCCCAACATTGATAAACAAACATCTGATGTATGACAGCAATAGTGACGTTTCTATTTAAGCGTGCCTCTTACAATTGAGCTGAGTTGCACAGACTCCACAGCGAGCTGCATCTGACATGGTAGGTGGCAGATTTCTAGCTTAGGCTCTTCTGACAGCACCTCCAAACATATCTGCTCAGCACTGGTGTCCTGGAAAGGAAAAGGGGAGAGAGAGGTGGTTAGAACGTCCCACATACTCTTTGGATAATCAGAATAAGTAACACAGGAAGACTTTCACAATATTTTCATATAATGGTTTAATATCATGCGGTTGTTTATTTTTAAGTAATGCTGTCTGTATACAGTAACTCACAATTTCCTCTGCAGGGGCAGCAACAGGCTCTACAACAGGCTCTGCAACAGCCTCTACAACAGGCTCTGCAACAGTTTCAGCAACAGCCTCTACAACAGGCTCTGCAACAGTTTCAGCAACAACTTCAGCAACAGGCTCAGCAACGGGCTCAGCAACGGGCTCAGCAACAGGCTCAGCAACGGGCTCAGCAACAGGCTCAGCAACGGGCTCAGCAACAGGCTCAGCAACAGGCTCAGCAGCGGGCATCACATCCATAAATTCTGATTCGGTGTTACTCACTTCCACAATTTCCTAGATATAGCAAGCAGAGAGAGGTGCCTGTTAAAAAAGCTAAACACAAAAGTTTCACAAATGGATAATATGCAATAAACATGGCAATAACATCTGGAGCAACAGCTCATGTTAGCTTTGCCGTTTTAACAGGAAACTACTCTGATCATAGAGGCAGGTTTTATATGAAATGTCAATTTTCTTGAAAGATGTTTGCTTAATATTAGTAACAATTACAGCAACTAATGATTAATTCCTGTCTGCGGTATCTTACCGGCTGGACAGCAGCAGACTCTGCAATGGCGACATCCGCTGCTGAGAGAGATTCTGTGACAACAAAGTCATCAACCATGGTGTCAGCAAAGCTCTGTGTGGAGAGATGTAGAGAACAAGATAAGATCATTTTAGGATTTTCAACATACCAGCACACACACATACACACACACACACACACACACACACACACACACACACACACACACACACACGACATTGACTTAATTTAATGAGGGGAATTAATTAGCAAGCATCCCAGGAGAAAAAGGCAACTGAAGCCTCTAAACTAGTTATTTTAAATTGCTTAAAGCAGAGTGTGTTTGCAACAATGTCACATATTTAAGATAGGGATATTGAACCAGTATCCAATGAAATACGTATAAGAGATCCTAATTGTGACATATTACAGTTTGCACATTATTTTATAGCATAACCCATAAACTTCCGACTTCAGGGTGATCACCATGAATGCAGTCTCCCAAAAAGTGGTCATATAACATGTGGAATCAAATAGTTTGAGTGTTTAGCTTTTACCTCTTTGACTTCAGTTATGAGGGCTTCAGCCTCTTCTATCAGAGCCTCGGGGACGGTGTCTGGCACCTGCGGACACAACAGATACCGCCATGTCAATATTCAGCAGAAATTCCAAATTTCTACTTCTGTATTACTATTTACACAAAAGACAACTTGTTAATCAAAAACTCCAAAACAAAGCCTCTAGCAAGAAATGCCTCTTAGAAAAACTACTCACCACTGGGATTTCCACACATGGGGCAGGAGCATCCTGTAATAAGAAATAGCAGGACACAGTATGCCATTAGTCTTTGGTGTTAAGTTTAAAAGAAATTATATTAATGAAGAACCGAGCCAGAAAACAGATGTAGCCGTTGAAGAAGCCGTTCTACCCGCTTGAAAACCTAACCAGTGAAAAGATCTTTTGGAAAGGATTTACAGCAATACTACAGATTATTAAGGATGATAAGCTTTCACACAACCACAACTGTTTGAACCACATGCTACACACATGCAACACACCATCACACACTAGAAATGTAAAAACGACATAAGTCAAAATGCACTTCTGCATTTTGTTCTTGGCAGATAAAAGAGAAGAAAAAAGGTTTGAGAGACGAGGAAAGTAATTTGTATCAACGTGGCACCTCTGTGAGAGCAACAGGCTCAGCGAGGACTTCTATTTCAGCTTCATCATCTTCATCCTCAGCTGGGGCTGCAGGACTGGCGACAGCTTCAGTCTCCTGTTCTGGCTCAGGTATCTCTGCAACAACCTCCTCCACTGATTGCACCAGTGTTTCTGTAACCACTTCCTCAGCAGGAACTTGGTCACATGTAGGTGCTTCAGCCGCTGGTTCTTCAGTTGTTTCAGTTACGGGCTCTGGTGTGGCGATATCCTCTGTGATAGCCACCTCGGTCTCAATGGTCTCTGGCTCGCAGACATCATACGTCTGCACGTGCAAAATCAACACGGCACACATTGAAACACCATGCAACATGCAACAGGGGATCAAATGGGCAACACTTCGTCCATATAATTGATCAACAAGGTTTTTCCTCCTGGGCAAGAATATAATTTGGACAAAATGATGACCTCCCATGCACTATGGAGTCTATACAAGTGGAATTTGAAGCCTTGCTGTCACAAAGAAGATCAGTATTACCTGTTCAGTCTCTGTGGTTTCGATTATATTCTCCTTTGTCTGAATCTGGAGAAGGAGAAATAGAAAAACACACTTAAGCAAATGGATGCATTGGTCGATGGATGGATGGATGGATGGATGGATGGATGGACACATGAACACAAAAGCAACAAGACAATGGCCGTTTAACAGACTTAACAACAAACATTGGAGATTTTCTGCACTGAATATAACCTACAGCCTTAAGTAATCTTCAACAGTCAAATCTAACCGATTATACTCGGCTGGGTTTCTGAGGAGTGGTTGCTTAATTGCAACTTTCACACTAATTGCAACAGCTTTATTAACTGCAATTTTAGGTTGTTTCGTTATTTTTTTGGCCAGTGATTATCATCAATACAGTCATTTATGTTATTAATGAGTGAAAACAAGTTAGTTTTTGTTTTTCTCTTTCCCTGAAAACATCTGGAGAAGGCGAGCCTGACTGCGATCAGAGTGCTGTGTTATATAAGAGAATGAGCCCTAGGGGGAAAGTGTGGCTGTTATTTATAAGGTGTGAAGCTTAAGTCATAGAAACACTTTTCTATTGAAGGAGTTGTCTCCTGTCCAGGTACTGCTCCTAGGAACTTATAAAACATGAGTGGAAACTCTGAGTCACTCTGGTTTAATGTATGGCGTCTTCTGCACAACTGTTTTTGTTTGACATATGAAACCACATACACCGAAATGTGTTAAAGGCAGTTGTGTTTTCTGTACTGGATGAATGCACTGTATTATGTTGTATGAAGGGGCTGCATGCTTAGCTTAAATGGCCTAAAAAATAAAAAAGAACTTCTGAACATAGGCTCAAGTACAACTCTGCATTTAACCCTTACTAAGCAGCAACCAAGAAGCAACTTGGGGTTCAGTGTCTCACTAAAGGACACCTCAACATGCAGACAGTAGCGAATCTTATCTGTCCAGGAAAATGAAACACGACCTTTTGTGTGAAACGCGTCTCTGTAAAACGACTGTTTTTACCTCGATCTCAACAGGGGCTGCTACTGGAGCCTCAGCTGGGGGTATGGCCTATGAAAGAGAAGGGAAAAAAAAGAGATCTTACTTCACAAGTCAACAGAACAGTTATACTTCACTCTTCTTCGGAAATGCCTTGAGTGAGAGTGTAATTTGAGTTTAGGGTTTAGGGGGAGGAACATGCATACATCCTACAGGAATGTTACAACCAGTTGCATATTGGGAAGAAAGTACGCCCATTTCTCGCCCCTTCTATAAAACCCAGCTCAGAAGAAAAAATAAATATATATATATATATATATATATATATATATATATATATATACATTCACCTTATTAAACTACCTTCCTCAAAATACCTACACAACTCTATAACTACAACATATTTTATTATCTTTTTTTACTTCAAAAAATGCGACATTACTATTATTACTTCTATAGAAATACACACATGTCCAGATAATGACAGAAGGCACCCATATCTTCCTAATTTTTTCGCTGCCAGGGCGATTTTCCAATCCTTGCCAACGATTTGTTCTGGAACAGTTGGCAGTAACCTAAATGGCCACTGGCGGCCCCCACTGTGCACCCAAGTGTGTTGAGCCATAGTGGCACGAACAGGGAGCAGTGCATGAATAATGCAAATCTTTATAGACCAACAGTGAATTATTTACACTGTCTTGTACCAGCCTGTCTTCAATGTAGGACAGGTCTGGTGCATGATGGCTGCTACTGCAAGTCAACCATTGGCCAACATCACCAAGTCCATTTATCTACAGTAGTTAGAACAGAGTGAAAACTCTCACAGAAGACAGTTGAAACGCTTGTTGTTACACTCAAGTTACTTGACCATCTCCACCTCTTTCTCTGCACTACTGGGAGGTGAGAAATTCTGTTCTCCAGGATTTTATTAACTTCTGAACCAAAGCCAAGTGGGCAAAAATGTCCGCATAGTTGAGAGGAGCAAATATATACTCCAGCTATAGCCTGGGAGGGACGGTATAGGGGAGAGGAGGAGGGAGAGGGGGGGAATATAGACCTTCCTTTGCTCGACAGGAAATCACACACATAAAGCTAACACACACACCCCCAGTCTACCCCAGTCCCAGAACACTTTGTACCAAACTGATCTGCACACAGATCCTGCCTCAACGGTCCTACTAAGAAACAAATCCAGCTCAAACCAAAGCCGATCTAGAAACAGCCACCTTTCATACAGACCATTTCACCACAGAGGATATAGTGTACCTGGACTACAAATATAGAAAAAAATAAATGGTCAAACACTTAGTATAAGAGGAGTCCTCAAATAGATGCAAAACAAAAAAATGTAACCAAAAAGGGAACGTTTTGACTGTTCTCTTTGCAAAAGTGTACCGTTAAGCTAACAAAGCCCTATAGAGCCCCAGAAAACAAACACATAAAAAGTTGGAAGGAAATGAGGGGAGGGCTCCTCCATGTGCGGACACTGGTGGGAGGAGAGGTGGCTGTCCCCACGTGCTTTGCCACAAGGTGATCATTTTTTCAACCATGTCTGAAAATGTCAAAAGTATCACTTCGCACATCTTTGTCACCTACAGTTTTCTCAAATGTGATAAATAAAAAACATGCTCACCAATAATTTTTAAAACATGCTGTAATTTACAGAATTGTGGGCAAACTGAAACCTTCACTAGACAAATACCAAATACAAAAAGGCTCAACCACACAACTACACATACACCAACAGGTGATCAATGTCCCAATTCCCCGTCCCGTCTCCTCCCAACAAAGACCAAATGATAAGAAACTAGGACAAAACTGTGTGTGCGCATGTGCTGGGGAGACGAGTTAATTAGGGGCCCATAGGCCACATAGGAGGGAAGTGGGGTGGCAAAGACAAGAAGTGAAAGAGGGAGGCCAGGAGAGGGGAGGAGTATTGAAAGGGGAGACAGAGAGGAACAAGTGGTGGGAGGGAAGGAAGAGTGATGAAGGAGTGAGGGACTGAAGGGGGTAGGGCCGCAGGAGCACGAAGGGAGCCAACTGGTACAAAATGTTCAGTCTCAGCAGTAGCCGCACCTGGCGCCTCAGGCCACAGAAAAATGCAACGCACTCGGTTCTGTTGGTGGGTTTAAACTCACCTGAGTCTCCGTAATGACAGCCAGAAGCGGAGGGACCGGCTCTCTTTGGTCCCAAAGCCAGCTGAATACAAGCCCCATTTATGCAACGCTCTGATTCTATCAACTATTGCCCAACTCTTCTAACGGTGACCAACTCTAGCCTGACACGCGGTGTCACTGAGTGAACACTTTCTTGCAGTACTGGGGCCACAAGTGTATAAGGCGTCTGTGAGCAAAGTGTCATGAAGTCAAGATTGAAAAAAGCTCATTAAAACAAAGCAAGTAAAACATTGCTTGCCCCATACATCAAAACTGCTGCTGTATGCATTTGTAATTAATGCACCAGTATCGACTAATGTTCAGTTTCGCAAAAGTGCACGAGTGTTTGTGAGCGTCTGAACTGAATCTGGCACATCTGCAAGCAGTGAGGGAGCAGAGAAGAAGCGAGGCAAGAGGAGAAGCTAAGGGGGAACGGGTGGTGAAGTGGGAGGGGAGGGGAGGGGAGGGGAGGGAGGGAGGGAGGGATAAAGGGGAGGAGGGGTGGATACAGCCATAGCTTAAGTATAAAATGGGCTGTCCACCTCCAACAGAAACCTCTTTATTGGTCTTTTATTGCTGAGTCGGTAGACAATCCAAACCTACAACTAACCATAATGTATATGCAAAGCGAATGAGATGACCCAAGTATTACTGGAGGACAGTGTAACACCGAGTTGGCGCAAATGGCCACCGGGGCTAATGACACATCCTGTCTCCTCTTACACCAAACCTGTGCAACGTCTCGCATGCTGACACACATGTCAGCACACGCATGTGCACCATATGTGGTCATGGCTCAGCTACTGGGAGTACAGTCCATGAATTTAGTTTGTGTGTATGTGTGTGCATGTGCACTGAGGTTAGGCACACGCATGTACAGTATGCAGCTTGTGTGTTCACATAGCCTGCAGTCTGAAACAGAACATTCTGTTCCAAAAAGCTGTGCATGTTGGCTGCATGAAGCAACAGTCTATAATTTCATAACTTGCGAAAAGAAAATGTATAGATTTTGACGGTAAAAAAAAAGGTGTTGGGAAATTGTTTAGTGGTATAACTTATGTTACAAAGTCATGTGTACAGTAACGATATGGAGTTTGTGCAAAGAAATAGCCAAACACCATGCATTTCTTTAAATACAGAAGACAGACGCCAAGCTTTTGCATCTTACTCAGTAACTTCCTTGACTTTAAATCTTAAACCAACTTCATTGAGCGCAAACATAACAAAAAACGGGTCATATCAGATGTAGCAGATCAAATTTGGACCACTTTTCTTGCAGCACAATAATAAAAAGGAACGTCACTATAAATGACTAGATTTTAGAGAACAAACTCCCTATCAATCTTATCCAACCAGCCTATTTTACAACCCCGGCACATTTCTAATAATAAAGGCATGCTTGATGACACAGTCATGTTCTAATGTAGGTGATAATGACTGCTGAACTGACTCCACTTTCCACCTCTTCGCTAAATGGAACATGTTGTACCCTCTGTCTTCCAACCCCCACCCCCTCCCTTCTCACAGAACAAAGCCACAGCACATACTACGCGAGCTTACAGCATCTAAACAGCCACAGTGTATGAATATTGGTCATTTTAGATGGCATGCAAAATTCTAAATTTCTGTTCATTGTAATGTACAACAACATATTGCATGTTGATGGTGGATTGCTCCCTTTAACGCTGTCATGCGCAGTAGAGTCACGCAGAGAGCTGCGTTTACTAAAACCTAACCAAGCGGTTTTGTTGCCCAACACTACAGGGGCTGGACATTCGTAGGTTAATGCACGAAGAAGCCAGACTGACGTTAATGTGCTTACAGCTCTTTCTATTTTAATATCCAAAAGGATATCCAAAGAAAAAATCCATTTAATAATCACTGAAAAAGTAGCTCCATAACCTGAACGTACAGCAAATATATAGACGTTTTGTAATGAGGGTGATTCAGGTACTTATTGGTTAGTTAGTTTGGAAGTTTTACTGCTACGACAAGTTAAAGAAAGATTTTTACTGACTATGGGAAGAAAAAATAGATAAATAGTGAAATGTCTGCATGTGTATGATACAAAGCAGTTCTTACCTCCGTCACTGGTTCTGGTTCAGGAATGATAGGTTCAGCCTCTTGCACTATCGCGGCTTCAACTATGGGGGGCTCTGCAGTTGTAGCCTCAACAACTGGTGGTTCTTCAGTGACCGGGGCTGGGACTTCAACCTTGACCTCTGCTGGAGTCTGTTCCAACACCACAGCCTCCGTCTCTGGCACCACTACCTCAACTGCGATGGGCTCTGTGACAGGCACCGAGACCGGCTCCTCCACAGGCACCGGGACCGGGACAGGCTCTGCGACAGGCACCGAGACCGGCTCTTTCACAACTGGTTCTGGTTTAACGATGGGGATCTTCACAGTGGGAACAACAATCGGAACTGCCACTGGGATCTTTACTGGTGCTGGAGTTTTGGCTGCTTTCTTTGAGATTGCTGCAGGGGGCGCACTAACTGCAATCCCAGGACTCGCTTTGGCTGGCGGGTCGTTTGCATGCTCCTCTTCAAGGGCTCTCCTCTGGGCCTGCTGCAAGAGGGAAATCACACAAAAACATTTGGGTTAATGATTATTGTCTTGTCATAACAGTGGGAAAAGGTTTTCATGCATTCAATTGGTATTTTACATGATATTTATACAATTTAATATGTTTAGGGTAACTTGATATTTGTAAGTCAAAGAGTGTTGAACACTGACACTTAAGTGATACCAAATTTACGAAAAGGTTAAGAAACTGAAGCAAATGGGAGTTTAGGGGTCTGAATGCTACAGAGGCCCTTGTCGTGTTCAGATACTGGTGTTATAGTCAGTCAGCGGGCCATTCTAGCACAATTCTGTCTGCATGAATACCAGGCATGCCATCCGACATGTTTTTTCGGCTCCGGACAAAACCCCCTCAGGCTTTAATAGAGATTTTAGGAGTCCGCACCGCTGGCGGGAGGGGCCGGGTAAATGGGAGTAGGCCCAGCAAAGCTAGTTAGATAATGGGGGCTAATTAGTTGAATCAGAGCCGTTCTGACAGGTCTGGTGAAGCGGGGATGAAAACTGTGCGAGTCAGCAGCCCTGATGGGTGCCCCGCAGGCCAGACATTGGGCCTAATCACATTATAATCACGTTATAATCACGTTACAATCACTCCCCGAAAATGCTTTTGTTAGAGTGGCAGCCAGTTTGTGCCTAGGTCTGTGACTGTCCAGCTAGCCACCGTCAAAACAACCCCTCCCTCATCTTCGCCCTCAAATCGCTTGCCCCAAACCTCACTAACTGAGTGATGTATAGCTTTAAATCAATCAAGGTTGTTAATTGAGTTTCTCAGGCTTTGTCTAGGAGGCCCGGCCACTTGCTTACATACAAAGAGGTTTGTGAGGGGAGCATACAGCTGTACATCTTGAGGCTGCTACTTCCCTTCCTGTGGGCTGATATCTCTGGAGTTGGTGATAATGTCGAGCTGTAAGTGACTTCAGGGGCTTTGATCCGAGTGTCACCGACAGACTCTCAGCGAATCAGGGAGATTGTGCAGACTCCATTCTGGCAAAACTAATGCAAGACATTCCTCTCGTCAACACACTACCAAATACAGTTGTGCGGTGCCAGAGAGAGGTTTTAAAGGAGGGGGGGAGGGGCTGAGTATGAAGGCCACAAACTCATACACATACCTAGAAGTCTTCCCAGTGTGAGGACTAGGCCTCAAGTGAGAATTTAGTTTCTAAAGGTGAAATTAGATGCAAACTATCATTTTCATTGGAAAAGAAGATAGAGAACAGCGCTCCTTCTCTTTGATGTTCAGAAGTAAAATGTCTCCCATGGCAGTCACCTCAGAGGAGTGGGGAGGGGGTTAGGAGTCAGATTTGCCATTTGTCATGCCATTGGCCTGCTGCTTTGGCACATTGTGAATTATCATTATTGATATTATGTATAGCAGTGTATCTTCATCAGGTGAAGTACTGTATGTACTGTACAGTGTGTACTGTGTGCATGGGAGATGGGGGGCGGGGGCTTCTTTATGCTCGCAAACAGATTTTTTTTTAACACAATATATGTTATAACCGTATAATATAAAACGATTCATGTTTAATAACAATAACCCACCGGAATATAATAACCTGCAATACCCATCCCATCATTTACCATTCTATCCAGAGCGCACTGGGAGCGCACGTGGCGCTCGAGTGTAAAGCCAAGACGTGTACAATTATCCTTTTCATAGTACCTTATTGCGGAGCCAGAAGCGTCTGAGGTGTCAGGCTACTGAAAGGGATTTCGATTAAATCTGTTTTCTATATTTGTGGCGCAGCCTTCAGTCAGATTTTACGCACAAAGATGGGAGCGCCACTCGGAGTTCAGAGCGTCTCCAGAAACGCAACTACATCGTGTGAAAAGAAATCTTCTGTCACTTTTCTCTTGATATTTCGATGTGCAAGTTAGACACTAAATTTGATCACAGGTCCAAAACACGCGTTTCTACGTACCAGCAATATCTTCAGTGGTCTTTTGGGAGGAAACAATAATAATAAAGAAGGAAGAATTAAAATAACTACTAAATTCGAAAACATTAGTCTACAAAAGTCCATTTTTGTCAACATTTTTCTAGAGGAACGCTGCCACTAACTGATTTGAGTTAATTTTCCAATCAATACAATTTGGGATTTTATCGTGATGAGAATAAAAACTTAGTGAAGAAAGTACGCCTGCCACCACTTACCACCCTCCTCATGCGACGCTGGTTCTTCTTTCTCTTGCTGGGCATTTTGGTGCGTGCTGGTGAAAACAAGAGAGACCGAAAAAAATGTAAAAAGCAGAGAGAGGACCGCGAGGACAAAGTGGATCTTTATAGAGCCCCCGGTCTCTCTGTTACCTTTGCATCGAACCTATGGGAGGACTGGGATGAAAGATGGGGGGCGTGGAGAGACAGAGAGCGAGGCATACACACCCCCACGTCACACACATGCACGTGCACGACAGCTCAGTGAGATGACTGAATCGGAGTAGGGCTATACTGGCTCGATGTTATGAAAGCATTCCAGCAAAGAGAGGGAGAGAGTGGTCCGTGGGCTTGCAGAGCGCCACGCCCCCTTTCCTGGATCAGAATTACGTTTTGGCTCGAGCACATGGCAACAACGACGCACATGCTCTAAAATGCATGTTTGCTATCTACTTTTTGTCCCCTCTGAGAGTATCACAGAGTCAGTTTGTTAACATAAAAGTCATAAAGCATGCTACACGTCCATTTAAATCATATTCTTGAGAGAAAACAAACAAAGAGGAAAACACACAAAGAGCTACTCTTCCACACAAAACAACTTGCTTCTGTCAACATTTTTTGAATTCATTAAAACCCTGAAGCCAGAGAATAGTTTTCATTGTATGTCTTCTCTGGGGAATAAAGAGAAAGAAAGCATGAAGCCTACATGCGTTAACGACCACCGCCCCCCCCATGCACTGCACGAGCTGTGAGCACCAATTGTCTCCAACTCCTTGGGAGCAACTGTACCCTGAATAACTTGTGCTTTATTATGACATTTATTGTTCTGAAAGTGTAAAGGAAACATTGAACTTACGTAACAGGTTTCTATGCATGGCATATATTGCAGCGAAGGGAAGGTGTAAGGGAGGGAGCTGATGAGATATAAATAGAGTTGATTCTCTACAACATGGCTGTCCGGCCTGAAGGCTCGCAACTTGATTTACTCCTCGACGGTTTGTGAGTGCAGATGGATTACATACATACAGTGTCACAGCACCTCCATGTTGAACTGTTGATCTTTCCATTATAGTCACTATAGCTCTGGAAAACTTGAGCAGAATACAGCTGCTGCAGGGATGGTATCAGTGTGACCTTTCAGCTACCCTATAGTCACTGTGACCACTATGTCACCAGACAGCGAATCTTGAAATAATGTTGATTTATCAAGTGTTACTGGGATCATTACAGTCGCTTATTGGGGATTTAGAGATGTCGTACAGTTGGTTTGAGTTGGTTAATGGCTTTAGGGATTCGTCTTTTCATTATGGTTGTTGATAACAAGATTAAAAAGTCTGTTGCCATTTTAGCACACATGTAAAGCAACGACAAAACGGTTGGGTGGATGAAAAGTTAATATTGTATGGAGAGAGTTCAATCTCAGTTGCCTTTTGGATACCACTAGTCGCAACAACAAAATGGCCTGCTGGTTGTGGCGAAGGATGAGCTGTGATCTCACCTAAATCATATGGGTTGAGGTTTTTTAGGGCACAATCAGTCTTGGCTGGACTTTGTGAGCTCAGTGCTAACATAGCATTTCCACATGCTGTCATGCTAATGGTAATGTGGTCATTAGTTTTTGAGGTATGCTAAGTAAAAGTGTTGGACCATTTGGAATTTGTGATGTTTGAAACACATGGCAATCCATCTTTTTTTAAATTATTTTATTCTCTGTTTTTGTTTCAGCTTTGTAAGATACAGAACATACTGTTAAGCCACCACACTGCCACTCAATTTCCTGAGAGAAAATCAACAAGAAACAGTGGAAATATTGGTCTTTTTTTACTTTCAAATGTTGATGGTAAGTGGTGGGATGCATTTTACTAATTAGATACATTTTCAACAGAGCACTGTCATCAGCTATTATCAGTGAACTCATTGGCCAAAAATAGGTCTATCAGAGAGGTATTCTAACTATCTGTAATATCATGGCAGCTTCGCCTCTCCAACCGTTGATGTCTCACCAGTGTGGTATTTCTTGAATGGCTGTAATTCTTCCGATTTAATCTGCCGGGGCAATGCAGAAATAGTTGCGATACTAAAATGAGATGAAATCATTTATTGTGAGTTCGGATGGTAGAAGTTTGCAGCACATTATCACTGTAACTGTTCTGTTAAGAAATGAGAAGAAACAATTAAGTTTATATTCAGATAATTCTGTATGTTTTCAAAAGGTTTCATCAAGTAAAATCTCTGAATATTGAAAGAGTTGAAATGTGGCTAAAATCTGTAAATACCAACCGTGTGTTTTCAGTGTTTAGTTCAGGTCCGACTTCAAGACATTAGCTATATGTTTCTGCACCTTGAGCAAATGTGTCACGTAAGAATGTGTTGCTGCTGAGCAGAGTGGGCTAGCCGAAGGGTTTGCTGTTTATTCAAACACATTCAGTTGAGCAACGTTTACCCATCTTTGGGGCGCGCAGGAGGTTTTAGTGTTTTAACGTTTAAGAGAGGGTGAGCCACATCACAATCGACTGTGACTCTGAGTACAAAGCAGTGTTGTCACTGAGGGAAGAAGTGAAACTGAGTTAATTGTGTTTGGACGAATGCCCCACCAGTGCTGGAGTTAAACTCAGTCAACCAGCTGATATCATCTTCTGGGGCGATGATGAAGATTCCTATGTAGTATCCAGGCAGAATAAGAGGAGTCTTCTCCTGAAGACTGCTGGCAACACAGCAAACGCTCAGAAACTTTGTCCATCAGCTGGTCAGTGAAGAATCATCAACTTTAAATAGACGCATGATGTTTACCTGTGCTGAACTGGGTTTTCTCACACACACACACACACACATACACACACACACACACACACACACACACACACACACACACACACATCAGGTGAACACTGGAATGTTGTTCGTCAACAAACACCCCTCCCCAGGTCAGCTCCATGGTTACCAACATTGGCCCATCAGTGCAAACACACGCACACACACAGTCAAACAAATACTACCTTAATAACTATTTTCCGGTTTGGGGTTTTCAGACATATTTTCCTTAAAGATGCATTTAACCACTACTAGGCAGACTATACATCAATACATACATATTTACATGTTTATAGATACTTTTAACACAGTTTGTACACGCTAGAGAAAAGATGCTCTTATGTGTTTTCACTCAGTGGGGATGAATATGCTCACTTTTATTTGGTGTTCTTTCTGATATTTTTCAATCTTTTTATGATAAATTTGGGGATTTATTTTGTTCTCAATTGGTATTTTTTGGATGAGGCCAGAGGGGAGTACATATTGTCTCAAAGTTCAGCTGTGCAGGTAAGCAAATAACATTAACACGCCAGCAAGCAAACCTAATTTATATATAACTTTTAGAAACAGGAGTTAGAATAGAGAGTACTTGAGGAAGAATAAATAACATGAACTTTATTACTTCAAGGCTACTACTTCAAGTTTAATACTTCAAGTTATTATTATATGTTATATATTGTTCATTGCAAATATATCTAGGCATAATTCTGTAAGCATTGTTGCTGTTTGAGGAAAATATCTCAATCAGGAGCATATTTTTGAAGCAGTCTACACTGTAAAGATGGGTTTCACTTGGAAAAGGAATCCAGCAACCTTATTATAATGATAATAATTCACATAACGGTACTTCCCTTCTGAGATCTGTGACCCTGCTTTATAGACCCTTGTAAGATGAGATCGATTGACCTCTGACCTACTGACAGAGGAACTCCTGGGGACTCCTGACATTCCTGAATCCTGCCTGAATCCTGAATCCTTTCCCTCCTGCAAAGCCATATAACAATTTGTATAAACTGTAAAAGCATAAACAGCCTCCTGTAAATCTAGCGTAAGTTCAGTCAGGAAGACTATACTCTTGCATGCTTAGGCTTGTAGTTTATTTCTCAAAAATCTGCCATTCACTCCTCTCACGCATGCTCACTCATAATTTCCTTGCTGTTATTGCTCGAGGCTGTCAATCATGATATCAGCGGTTGAGATCAGCTGGTCTCCTCTATCCCATAGCACAACAAAACAATTACATCGTTAGCCTATCATCCTGCTGCTGTCTCTTTTAAATATGATTAGATTTATCTTGCTGCTGCTCAGGGCATAAACCCCTCGATTACAAATCTCCTTGCAGAGTCCAATTGCCAAAGACTCTGCCAAGACTTTATCATCACATAACATCTGTTAATGATAATTATCAGGTTGAACAAGGCACCTGTTCGTATTCCTATGGGTACCAGCACATATTGGGGTCAAAGGTAATGAAATGGCAGATAAAGCTGCAAAAGAGGCCACAAAAAATAGCTGCACTAATGAAGTCAGCTTCAGTAAACCAGAAACCAACAGTATTATTAAACAGAGGTTGAAGGAAAGGTGGCAGAAGCAATGGAAAGAAGACAGGAAAGGACGATGTTTTTACCGAGTTCAGAGGAAAGTGGGAGAAATGAGATGTGCAGGAAGGAAGATTTGGACACACTGGCCTAAACAGTATGCTTAAAAAAAATAGAAAAACATGAAAATGTGATTATTGTGGGCAAGAGGAAACAGTAGAACACGTTAGTGTACAATGTCAGAAATATGAGCAAGAAAGAGGGCAGCTGATTAGAGACCTCGGCAAGATGGAGTTTTGATGTAGTGGATATTCTGCAAAAGAACTCAAAACGTGAATGTTATCAAGTATTATTTCAATATCTTAGACTAACTAATATTATCAAGAGAATATGAGCCCGTTGTTTTTTTTCTGTTTTTTTTCTTGAGCCACACTCTATACCAGTTGGTGGAGGTAATGCGCCAATGAATTGTGTGCCAACCGCCAATAAACCTCAAAAAAAGAAGAAGAAGAAGAAGGCACACGTTTGCATGGCCTCACTCCTTTTTGGCCCCTGTCCTCTGTGGTGGCTCGTACACACACAAACAAAGTTTACACTAAATACATACCTGTATCTATTTAATGTGATCAGTTAGCATGCCAACCCTTATGAAAATACGGCCGCCTTTATTAACTCTGGACTGACAAATCTGGAAATTGTTTTAGAAACACTATCATTGTTCTGCCTTTGATGGGTGACTGGATATGTTACTACCCCATATATGAGGTGGTAAGTAAATCTTAATTTGTATTATTTTGCAGCATGGTGAGT